TGTTAAAAAGCAGAGACATTACTTTGCCAGCAAAGGTCCATCTAGTCAAGGCTATGGTTTTCCCAGTGGTCATGTATGGATGTGAGATTCGGACTGTGAAGAAAGCTGAGCGCCAAAGAATTGATGCTTTTGAACTGTGGTGTTGGAGAAGACTCTTGAGAGTCCCTTGGACTGCAAGGAGATCCAACCAGTCCATCCTAAAGGAGATCAGTCCTGGGTGTTCATTGGAAGGACTGACAGGTTGAAACCCCAATATTTTGGCCACCTCATGCGAAGAGTTGACTCATTGGAAAAGACCCTGATGCTGGGAGGCATTGGGGGCAGGAGGAGAAGGGGCTGACAAAGGATGAGATGGCTGGATGGCATCACCGACTCAATGGGCATAAGTCTGAGTAAACTCCGGGAGTTGGTGATGGACAGGGAGGCCTGGCGTGCTGCGATTCATGGGGTCGCAAAGAGTCGGATACGACTGAGCGACTGAACTGAACTGAACTGAAAAGGGATAAGAAACTTTTTCAAAGTGTATTTCAAAAGTTTCACAGAATAGTGGTTTAGAATCAGAACTGGCAAAAACATTCAGCCATCATGTCATTTAAATGTAGGTGTAATTCACAAGGACCCATGAGGCCCTGCCTTTCCTCAGCTCGTTTAAGAGGATGCTGACATGGCCAGCTGACTCTCTTCCCTTCCTCTGTGCTCTGAAATGTTCCAAACCCTCCCTTTGGACTCTACAAAATAAAACTGAGGAAGGAGAGAAGAAGCTGGAAAAGAAAGATGTGAGGGGTGGGGAGAGGTTCAGAGGACTACAGGACACAAACTGGTATGTGACAGAAGTATGTGGAAAAGGGAAAATAGAGTATTTTAAAAGAGTTCTTAGACCCTTTTATGGTTTTTGAAATGCACAAGAAAAGGAGTAATTTTGAAATTATTCTTTGGTGGTCCCAATACCTCCCCAAGACTGAGCCAGATGGGATGACTGGTTTATGCAAATAAATTTTTCAAGTGTCAATAAAAAGCATCCATGCAGGCCTGCATTCTTCACATAGATTTGCCAGTTTCCTTGGTGAAAATGTTTACAGTTCAGAGCTATATAGAACCTGAATAGCTTAACAACATTGAACAGTTAAGTAGAACTAGACATTTGAGGTTTGTAGATGTTTGAGATTTTTAATTTCACAATTAGATTTGTTGTTCAGGCTTCAAGAGAGACAAAAAGGAAAAAAGAAAAACCAATTATCCGGTATAGCACGTATTCTTCAGGAGTGATAAAAGCTAGCACAGTAGAAGATTCATTTACTTGTCAATCTACACACAGATGAATGATTCAAAGATGCCATGTGAAAAATTATTCTCTCCTTTCTAGAAGTGTAATAAATTATTTCATAATTGAGAAATTCTGATCTCGTAGGAACTTTCAAAACCCTTGAACTCATGGTTTCTTGCCCTCCTTGAGTCTATTCCTGGGTCATCAAACCAGCCTTAGCTGTAAGTCTAGAGCTGTGGTTCTCAACCCAGTATGACTTGCCTATTCCATCCACAGGGGACATTTGGCAATGTCTAGAAACATTTTTGGTTGTCAGGACTTGAGGTGGGAGAGTAGGGATACTCCTGAAATCTAGTGGGTAAAAGCCACTGACACTGCAGAGCGCCTTACAATGCACAGGACACCTTTCCACAACAAAGAATGATGCAATCTCAAATGTCAGTACTGGCAGCGTTGCGCAGCCCTTGTCTAGAGTCGTCCCTCTGAGATTACCTTGATCTCTCCTCCGCTAGTCACAGCCCCTCAGCTTCCACCTTCATGTTCTTCTTCTGAGCCAGTCCTTAATTGATCTTAACCACCAATTTTTAACCTATCCCATCTTCATTAGACCGGTGGAATTGTCCAACAGGCGTCTTTATTAATCTGCAAGCCTTCCTCATAGTTCAGCTTGGGCGGGGCAGATGTGCTTTGGGGCCCAGTATGAAATAGTAATAAATAATGTGGACTTTGGGTATCATTGAGGTAGGTTCAAATCCCAACTCTGCCACTTACTACTTATATAACTGTGCCCAAGTCTCTTACCCACGCTGTGCCTCGGTTTCCCCACCTGAAAAACATGTGTAAAAATGGCACCCTACCATAAAGAATTGTTGTGAGAAGTAAGTTAATCCTCATAAAGCACTGGGAATGGTGCCTCACGTCCCAGTGCCTCATGCTGCTGTGTGTGTGCTCAGTCATGTCCGACTCTTTGCGAGCCCTGGATTGCAGCCCACCGGGCTCCTCTGTCCATGGAATTCTCCAGGCAAGAATACTGGAGCGGGTTGCCATATCCTACCCCCCATTTCCTACGACCTAGGGATCGAACCTGAGTCTCCCGCGTCTCCGGCATTGGCAGGCAGATTCTTTACCACTTCGCCACCTGGGAAGCCCAAGTGCTTCATAAATGTTAGTTACTGTTCTTTCTCAGGAGCTCACTAAGGCCTGTGCCCTCCAACTCACTTCCTCCTCTGTACCCCCAGTCCAGGGAGAAGATATATTTTATTCATGATGGTTTCTCTCAAATGTTTGCCTAAGCTGTGAGTCGTTTCCATTTTCCTCAGGGTCAGCGTTTCTAAATGTGGAAAGGCAGGAGGCACTCTGGTTTTCTCTCTCTGGTTTTGGCTACCCACATCTCCTCCCTGAGGCAAATAACACTTGACAACATGAAGGTGGGGGAGGACAAAGAAGGGATAGGACAAGTATATCAAAACATGGTCCCGAATGACACACGGGACACGCGGTTCTCAGTCTGCAGGTGGAAACTGGTGAGTAAATGGATGAGAGGGTGGCTACCTCATGGGCAGTGCTCGATTTTCTGGCACAGGTTACCATGTGGAGTGTGATACCTTTCACTGCTTTTAGATTTCATAGGAAGAAAGCAAAGTTTTTGAGGGCAGGCAAAGTTCTGTTTTGCCATGAGTTTTTGGTGCCTGTAGGAAATGGAGATGTAGATACCCAAGAGAAAGAGGACTTTTTGAATTTAATCACAGTAGAGAGATTATAGCCAGAGGTACAAATTTGGCAAATAAATGGTAGTTGAGTCAATAAGAGTTAAAAAATAAATTTTAAAAACAAGAGTATGAAAGATTGTGTGGAAAGGAGTTAGTTGAGTCAGGAAAGCAGTTTCTGGATGAATGGATGGATACATAAATTGATGAATGGATAAATGCATGGATGGATGGGCAGAACAAGGAGGAGGAATACCCCGCCAGGAGATAGAAGGAAGACTAGGAGTGAATCATGTCACAGAACTCAAGGGAGTCAAAAGAATCAGATGGCCTGGAGAGATCAAGTAAGGTAAAAACCGAAAGTGTCCATTGAATATGGCAACAGAGTCATCATTTTTTGCTTGGCAAAAATAGGGTAAGTAAATTATATGAAGACAAAAAACAGATGGTAGAATGAGCAGAGAACTAGCATTTCTAGTATATTATAGAAATAAGTCTTCAAGAAATAACCTCCCTTAGATTTGATGATAAGTTTAATTTCATCCTACATCATTTCATGTATAATTTTTGGATAGACAGCAGTTGGACTGCTTTGCCTAAATTGTTTATACATGATGACCAGCAAGAATGCTTTGCATTAAAATAATTAACATCAATCCATAAAATATTTTTGACACCTTTGCAAAAGAATAGCTTGTTTTCTGGAACCCTTCATTAGTATTATTTTGCTCTAACTTCATTTACTTGATTCTTCTCATTAGTAATAAGAAATTGTCTCATTCATTTGTTCAATAAATATTTATTATGCTTTGCTTTATTCCATGCATTGTTCTAGGTGTTTGGACTATATCAGAGAATACAAAAGGCAAATAATCTTGTCCTTGTAGCATTTAAATTTCAGAATTGCATGCTAATAGGAAGTGATTGAAATTATTTATATACGTGGTCTTGGAACTGGGCCGTAGAATGACACCCATGATGTGACATAATACAAAATGATCATATCAGAGGTTGAATTAGAAAGTTTTAACTCCTGGTTCAGCTACTTTGATAAGCCTGGATCATGCCTACCACACCAAATCATTTCGAATATTGAATTTTATCAAGTAAGAGAAGTATATGAAAAACTTTTTAAGAAAACTCAGTAAGTTTACAGGAATGATGATGATGTCATCACCATTATCATCACTGTCACATCACTATCAGATCCCACTAGACTTCATAATCCATCAGTCGTTTCAACTTATGGACCAGTCCTGGAAAAGTCATTGCAGTGTTTAGGAGGAAATCGAATACGTTCTATTTGCATTTTTCATCATAACGTTATATACAAAGTTTGCAAGCATTTTATACTATCTATACATTTCATAGTCACAAATATGTTAAAAGACTTTATATTATTTAGGTATAGTTGGGGATAAGCTCAGAAAACAATTTATAGCCTTACATAGGGCAGTAAAAAGAGTTCGTTTTTATTCACAGGGAATGATGATACCTTTGACAGTGCTAGATCACATATTAGGTTGAATTAAAGACACAAACACTATTTTAAGAATTGAACTTGTAATAGTGTGTTGTCTGTGGGGACAGCAGGGATCAGGGGAGGAACACAAAGATTCATGAGTTTTTCTTTGGGAAATGCTTACAGGGCTAAACCGAATTGTAGAAAATGGAAAAAACATATATAGTTTGCCTTGGCTTTTCCTGTTTGTTTTTTTTTAATTTATTTTTAATTGGAGCATAATTGCTTTACAATGTTGTGTTGGTTCTGCTGTATCACAATGTGACTCAGCTATATGCATACTGTACATCCCCTCCCTCTCAGGCCTCCCTCCCACCCCTCGAGGTCATCACAGAGCACTGAGCTAAGCTCCCTCTGCTAGGTTTTTCAGTTTTGATACTTTGAAGTATTATGAGTTGTGTGAAACCGTCACCAACCTGTAGGCCAGTTTTCTTTAATACTGCATCCCATTCAGACATTTGATGGACTTTGCACTATTTTAATTATCCCATCTGTTTTCATCTTTCAGTTCATAAGGCCTATGGATTCTCTGCCTCAAAAGATCATCAAGTCGTCACGGCAATAGAGTATCAAGGTAGAGTGCCTTGCTCCTTTTCGCATGCTGTATTGTTTGAAGACCTCATGGGGATGACACGCATGTCTTGTTTGTCAGAAACTCACCTCACACCAGCTCCTCTGCTGAAATGCTGCTCCCTGCTGTTTCTACCTTGAGAACTCTTTCTCCACCTCCTCAGTGGAAATTTTGGACATTCTATGAAAGGCTTGATGTACAAAGAAGGTCTCTTATTACATAAAGTATTTGCAGCAAAAAAAAATCTAATTTGTAAAACAGGGAGATGGAAATCTTGCAAAGTTGCAAGGTTAGCTAGATTTAGTCAATGGAAATTAACACTGCAAACTCCTCATTGTGTATTTAAGATAACATTTATATAGCCTATTAGGGGTATCATTTTTTAAATTTATTTTAGCTTCTTAAAATATTTATAAGGGAGGAGTTGGTATTTAATGGATATAAAGTTTCAGTTTTACAAGATAAAAGAGTTCTGGAGATTGCTTACACATCAATGTGAATATATTGAACACTACGGAACTATACAGTGAAAACCATTAAGAAGGTAAATTTTAAGTTATGTGTATTTTATAACAATGTTTTTAAAACTTTAAGGATTTAGTGTGTGCATGCTCAGTCACTTCAGTCATGTCTGACTCTTTTTGACCCCATGGATTAGCTCGCCAGGCTCATTTGTCTGTGGGATTCCCCCAGGCAAGAATACTGGGGTGGTTTGCTATTTCCTTCTCCAGGGCATCTTTATGACCCAGAGATCGAACCCATCACATCTCTTGCACTGGCAGGTGGATTCTTTGCCTCTGAGTCACCAGGGAAGGCCCTGAGGATCCAATAACAAAAAAAAATCATTGCTGTTCTGTCGCTCAGTCGTGTTTGACTCCTTGCGACCCCATGGACTGTAGCATGCCAAGCTTGCTTGTCCAAAAAGAATTATAGGAGTTTTTCTAAATTTACTTCAGTTTTGACTATCTACTACTTTTTTGAAGGATCTTTTTACCTAGAGCACATTAATAATGCTGGGCAACCTGAAAAATTACTGTTTCTTAAGTGTGATACTTCTTTACCCGATAAACATTTAAGAAACTGGTTTCATATGTCTGTTCCCTCTTTTGATGCATGTCTTAAAAGACATATATATAACGCTCATATATGAACAGCCTTATGCAGAGAGTGTTCAACTGTGTGAGCAGTAAGTCAGAATTTAATAGCATGCTTTTCTCCACAGAAGTAATTTATGGCAATTTGTCACAATTACTTTGGTAGTACCAATTCTATTCTTGCATTATGTAAGATTTTGATCATTTCTAACTTGAGCACAGAAGTGAAAATCAAACAATAGTCAACAATACAGAAACTAGAAAAATGAATATTCACAATGATTCTATGTGATTCCTAAAAATGATTATTTTGCTACATGTTGAAAAGAATTCCTTTTCCAAACAAAGGATTATCTTTTCTTAACCCAAACCAACACAGGTATTTTTGGCAATGTAATAACCATCTTCATAGAAAAACTTGGTGCATTTTTATGTTTCAATATGCCTTGTTCTGGGAAAGTATGATTTATATCTATATTATTTTCTTTGTCGTCTCAAACACAGGTAATGCTTCAGTTCAAATCTGAGTAATTTGGTAGCAAATATATGATGGTGTTAAGTATGGATTTCTGTTATGCCAGGGCAAGCTTACAACTGTAAGTAAGAGAGGTCCCTCATGAGTAAAAGTAATAATGACCATTTCTGGAGCATGGACCAATGCACAGTACCATGTGCAGCCAAATGTGTAAATACATTGTCTCATTTAATCTTTATGACAACTTTGCAAGACGAATAATATTGCTCTTCCCATTTTACAGATATGAACACAACTGTCTCTTTTTATAAAAAGTTAAATAATTTGCCCAGTAGCAACACATCTAGTTTATGGCAAAGGTCTGACTCCAAAGTCTGTGCCTTAAACTACTATATTATGGCATATTGCGCTTCCCATGTGGCGCTAGTTGTAAAGACTCACCTGCCAATGCAGAAGACATAAGAGATGCGGGTTTGATCTCTGGGTGGAGAAGATCCCCTAGAGTAGGAGATGGCAAGCCACTCCAGGATTCTTGCCTGGGAAATCTTATGGACAGAGTTGCCTGACAGGCTACAGTCCATGGAGTTGCAAAGAGCTGGACACGACTGAGCAACTGAGCATATCACATGGCATAATAACCCTGCGGGCTATATACAGAAAGGAAATCATGCTGGCCGTGAATGTTGAGTTTTGGCTGAAAAGAGAGAAGAAAGCTCATAGCAGTTAGCTTCTAAGTCCACCTCAGTTCAGTTCAGTCGATCAGTTGTGTTTGGCTCTTTGTGACCCCATGGACTGCAGCACACCAGGCTTCCCTGTCCATCACCAACTCCTCGAACTTGCTCAGATTCATGTCCATCGAGTCGGTGATGCCATCCTGCCATCTCATCCTCTGTCATCCCCTTCTCCTCCTGCCCCCAATCCCTCCCAGCATCAGGGTCTTTTCCAGTGAGTCAGCTCTTCACACCAGGTGGTCCAAGTATTAGAGCTTCAACTTCAGCATCAGTCCTTCCAATGAATATTCAGGACTGATCTCCTTTAGGATGGACTGGTTGGATCTCCTTGCAGTCCAAGGGACTCTCAAGAGTCTTCTCCAACACCACAGTGCAAAAGCATCAATTCTTCGGCGCTCAGCTTTCTTTATGGTCCAATCTCACATCCATACATGACTACTGGAAAAACCATAGCTTCCAAGTCCACTGAGTTCTTTATCCTCAGATGCTGGCCCCGTGCTTCTAGCAGATGTCCTGCTTCTCACAGCTTTGGAGGTCAAAGTGCTTCCTTGCTTGTAACACTCCTGAAGAACCACAAGGCGAAATTCAGATTCTAGGGAGTTGAAAAGTCCAAATTCCCTCTTTTAAGTCTTTGGTCAAATATCACCGTCTAAATGAGGCAAGCTCTTACTAATGTATTTATTTAAAAATTGCATTCCTTTCCCCCAGCATCCCCAAACTCCCCAGAATCTGATCTACCCTATTTACATAGCACTAATGACCTGTTCATGTACTGTATAATTCACTTTGTGATGTTTCTTGTGTGTCTGACCCCCTGCAAATTGTAAGATCTTGATTTCACTGCTATAGCTCAAGAACAAGGCCAGACACACAGTCAGTACTCAATATTGTTGTTGTTTAGTTGCTAAGTCCTGCCTGTCTGACTCTTCTGTGACCCCGTGGACTGTAGCCCACCTTTTGTCCATGGAATTTCGCAGCAAGAATACTGGAATGGGTTGCCATTTCCTTCTCCAGAGGATCTTCCCAACCCAGGGATCAAACCCGCATCTCCTGCATTGGCAGGCGGATTCTTTACCACTGAGCAATGTGGGAAGCAAGTACTGAGCATATTTTGGACAAATTCCATTTCTCCATATTTTATATGGTCAATGAGATTGAGGCTGAAATAGAGGCACTGCCCTTAAGAAAACTGTTGGTTACACTATTTAACATAATTTCTACAGAGGTTTTCATAGAGTAATGAGTATAGAAATCAGGAAGAATTCACCAAAAGGGGTGTGTGTGTGTGTGTGTGTGTGTGTGTGTGTGTGTCCAGTTAGATATGTGAAACAATGTGGTTATTTGAGTATAAATGTATTCCTAAGACCTAGGAGTGTGTGCTAAAAATGAATGTGGGTGTGTGTTTAATTGTTGGAAACTCAACAAAATACGGGAAGGAAACCTATCTGAAACTCAAGACTCCGGAAGGCCACCGCCCATTCTCCTTAATCAACAGAACAGAACTGTGTTTCCTCACACAAGTCCCTCGGTACACATTTTTCTGTGTAGCATAATTGTAAACATGTCTCTAAAATGATGTCTGTTTGTAATACAAACCTGCTTTTAAAACTTTAGACATCCTTAAAAACATCTTTCAGATTGTTTTCTCCTCTTTCTTTTCTCTGTCCTACTTTTTTGCCATAACCTATTATTCTATTTTTATATTTCTAGCAATATGTGTGGAACAAGAAAAAAATGAGGAAACTACATTTAACAGAAAAATCATACTTCTGTCACATAGATATCATTGCTGGGTTAATGTTTTCATACATTTTCATGCAGGTTTTTTGTTCATGTCTATAGGTATATTTTTAATAGAATATGTAATGTAAATATAAGTATTGCTTTCTAGTCTACCATATCATTTAACATCTCAAAATAATTTTTAATGGTATCAGAGACATAGAAAGGATTTTTTAGCGTAGTTTCTCTTCTAGTTAAATATACTGTTTTTTAGGTCAAACTATAATGCACTGTGAAGGAAAAATGTTTCAGAAATAAGAAATTGAGGAGAATCCTGCTTAATACTTTGTAATAACATATATGAGAAAAGAATCTGAAAAAGAATAGATACATATCCATGTGTAACTGAATCGCTTTGTGTGTGCCTGAAGCTAACACAATATAGTAAGCTATATCCCAATGTAAAATAAAAATTAAAAAAAAAAGAAATATGAAGTTGACACTCTGGAGAGCCTGGATGAAACATCCTTTAAAAATACATAGGACTAGAGGTTTCCATTTGGCAACTTGAAGCAGTTGGTAGGCGGGCACTGGTTTTTTCCTCCCCCCAGTCATCTTGTCCAGACAGTTAAAAGAGAGGGCGCCTTGGGTAGTTTCTGGAATTCCTTTATGACATACGTGCAGTAAATTTCCTGTGGTAATGTGACCCTGGTGAGCTACATTGAGGCGGTTAAACCTGAGGCCTGGATTAAATCTTTTGATTTTTTTTCTGGATTGAGGTGAAGGATAGGAGTCAATGATTTATTTGGAGACCATGTTGGGTTGGTATTATTATACGCACAGAGAAGATTATCAGAGAAGGATTCTGGGTGAGAAGGTAGCGTGCTGAGGGGCCATCTGGACTTCCGTAACGTGACCTGGACTGGGCTAGGTGTGTCTTTTCCAGGCAGTAGGTGTAGGCATCCACCACTGACCTCCATCCTGGCACTCATCACTGAAACTCCACTCTTATTTGCCTCTTCTCCCAGGCTCTAAACTCGTTGAAGACTGAGATGGGGGAGAAAACGTTAATTAATCATAGCAACTTTTTGTAAAGGACTTACTCCGTTCAGGCATGTGTGCTTTGCATCTATTATTGTATTAGTGAAAATCTGTTGCTCAGTTGTCTGACTCTTTGAGACCCGGTGAACTGTAGCCCGTGAGACTCCTCTATCCGTGGAATTGTCCAGGCAAGAATACTGGAGTGGGTAGCCTTTCCCTTCTCTGGGGGATCTTCCGAAACTCAGGGATCAAACCTGGGCCTCCTGCATTGCAGGAAGATTCTTTACTGTGTGAACCACCCTGGAACCCCATTTGTATATGAAGACTCAACAACTCTATGAGGTACTGTCTTATTTTACAGATGGGAACTGAGTCTCAAGAAAAAGTAGGAAAAGTAGCCTAGTGACACAAAATTATTTTGTTAAAGAATTACAGAGCTTTCAATTTGTCTTTAAATTAAGCCAACATGGTACCTGATGAGGAAATTTATGAATAAATGAATGAATGAATGGATAAAAGAATAAGGCTGTTAAAAGTCTATTAATTAAGTAAAATATAATCTCAGAAGGACAGTTAGAAAACAAATATTTTTTGTTGTTGTTTCTAGAGGCTATTTTAGCCTGTAAATACCCAAAGAAGACTGTTTCCTCCAGATTGGAATGGAAGAAGTTGGGGCGCGGTGTTTCCTTCGTCTACTATCAACAGGCTCTTCAAGGTAAGAAGCTGGGGACTCAATGAGGTGAGAGAAAGAGAGTGCCACGTACCCCAGATCCTTTCATTCATCAATGAGATCAGGACATGGCTAGTGACTGAGAATGTGTTTCTGTAAGTGTGATGTGAAACCAGCAGAGTGAAAGTGAAGTCGCTCAGTCATGTCCGACTCTTTGGGACCCCATGGACTGTAGCCTACCAGGCTCCTCTGTCCATGGGATTTTCCAGGCAAGAGTACTGGAGTGGGTTGCTATTTTCTTCTCCAAGTGTGATGGGAAACCAGCAGAGACCAAGACCCAACACACAACAGCAAAAACAGAACAAAGAATAGAAGTGGGTGGACTCTATGGAGGCACTGGACTGCTCATTTTTCAGCTCTCTCCTAGAGGATGTAAGATACAGTTGTTTTTGCTGGTCCAGTAGATTAAATTCTTGACAGACAGGAAGAAAAGATGGTGTGGGGTTGGGATGGAGGGTCGCTGCTCAGTTGTAATAACTTTACCCTATTTCTGGGTGATCCAGAAATCTAGGTCATCACTGAGAAGCTTAGGGGATTGGCACTTAGGGGAAGGTAAATATGACCACCTTTATCCAGGGTTTTCTTTATAAAATTTTTCGTTAGACATTTCTTTATACTCCCTGATCTTGTTGAATATATAGTGAGCTTTTAAGTTAAAGTGTTGAGAATGATAGATACAATGCAATGATGCTGGGATTCTGTTTAAAATAATCCAGTGGTTAGAACTGAGTTGCCGGGGTCCAGCCCCAGCAGGATCCAGGGGAACCCTCAGGATGAACGGCGTCGGCGAGAAAAAGACACATGAGACCAGCCTTGATGGGGCCAAGTCTGTGAGGGGGAGAGAGAGAGAGAGAGACAGAGACCAGACCAGGATGTGCAGCAGAGTCTGGCAGTGCTTTATTTTTCACCATGGCCTTTATACCCTAAGTTGGTACATTTCTAAGGGGCAGATAAGCATACAGACTTAGTTTAACATTACATCAGCTTGCCCTTCACGAAACCGGGTATGCTCTGTATATTTTTGTTTATGAGAGTCTTTTCCAATAGATTTTTTTGTACATTGTCTTCTGGCCTTGAGCTTAGCAGAAAACAGAAAAGTGGCAGTCTCATGGTACAGCAAGTCGCAACATAATAGAAATGCAATCCTGTTAACATAAAAGTCAGTCTTTTTGCAGAAAGTCTCAGCTAAATTTATCTAAAAAGTTTAACACACAAAGACTCTGTGGCTCTGGAGAGGCAGCCCCTGTTTAGCACTCTTGGTTAAAATTAACAATTATCTTATTGTTTTTACACTAGGGCTAAACTCTTATTTTTCTAGATCTCCAACTATATTAACAATAGTTTCCACTGCACAACCTCAGCACATTAACATCAATCAAACTTGTTGATCTAATAACCACTTTTAAAACAATATTTTTTGTATTCTCTAATAGGGCTTCCTCACCCCCCAAAGGGCTCTGTGCCTACTAGGGCCTTTTTTATGATTAATCTCTATGTATAATATCTTTTGGCCTTCAGGCCTGTTGACAGTTTATGGCTTGCACCTGGTGCAACTTTAAGCAACTTCAGTAGTCGACCCTGTCTTTTTTGTGGTTAATCTATTTTCTTTCTATTAGGTGTCATCTCCATGGGAACTATATAGGATTACATTTTTACAGAACTGAAATGCAAAGGATTGCAAAAACCGCAGATATAGCACAAAACAGGCTCTTAGTCTAAAAGTTAACTACCTGCAAGAAGTTGCCAGCTAATCTCTATCTAAAGTATTTTCTATTAGGCACATTTGTGGCTATAATATTTGTCGAGCTTTTCTCACCCCGTGAAGGGGCCTATGCTTAATAGTTTCTTTTGTTAGTGTACTGTGCTCAGGATGTTTAGAACAATCATAAGCATTTTTTGCAGTGAGAGCACACATTTATCAAACAAGCCAGAATGCCAGCAAAAGGATTTGAATTGAAGCATTTTCTTCATCCCTGGCCCCTTCATAGGGTACCAGCATCTAGGAGATTTATTAATTAGGGTTTTAAGTTGGTCTTTATCTGATGAAAGAGGAGCAGGAGAGCTCTCGGCAGGCAACACAAGAATCCGCAGCAGGGCAAACAAGAACAACCGCAGAAAAGGGGGGAGGACACAGGGTGGGGTAGAGGCCGAGGCCAACCTGGATGGTCCCTTATCCTAGACGGCCTTGCCTGTCAGGTATTTTCCTCATGACCTCATCATGGATGGGGTCCCGGATGGCCTTGCCTGCCCGGTATTTTCTTCATGACCTCGTCATGGGCGGGACCTCCTATAATGGCTCCCAGCACTGAGTGTTCTTTTGTGAACAGTCTGAGAGTCTAAAAAAAAAAAAAAATAGAAATTTGAAATAGCAGCACTCATAAACAATTTTTAAGTTTTTTAATTGAGTTTGTTAATAGGAAAATAAATGCAGTGGTTACTGAACAAAGTGACTAGAAGAAGATAGTATATAGAAAGTTATCACCTCATTGTTAACACCATTGTCTTCTTTTTCTAAAAGGTGATTTTAAAGATCGAGCTGAGATGATAGATTTCAGCATACGGATCAAAAATGTTACAAGAAATGATGCCGGGAAATATCGCTGTGAAGTTAGTGCCCCATCGGAACAAGGTCAAAACCTGGAAGAGGATACAGTCACTCTAGAAGTATTAGGTGATGTGCTTGTGTGTGTGTCTGCCGGCTAGACTCATGACCTACCCAAGGGTGACTCAATGACCTGGGGTTACTGTTCCCACCCTCATCCCCTCACCCAGCTCCAGAGCAGTGAGGCAACTCGGGGCCCCAGAGAGTAGCGTTATAAAGGTGGACCTCCAGCACCACCTTCCCTGTAGCAGCCTCTTCACCTTACTGGCTGCTGAGATTGTACTGTTACTAATTCATTATGTCAAAGTCTCTTTCCAGTGAAGATTGAGGTAAATCTTAATGATCCTACACTGTGTGCATGCGTGATCAGTCGCGTCTGACTCTTTGCGACCCCATGAACTGTAGCCCACCAGGTTCCTCTGTCCATGGGATTTTTCAGGCAAGAAGACTGGAGCAGGTTGCCATTTCCTTCTTCAGGGGATCCTACACTGTACCTAGAAGCGTTTTCCTCAAGAGTTTATTTTTCATTCACTTTCAGCATATGTAGTGATTCTCTTATTATATAAAATAGTCTCAAATGAGATGATAGAAAAGCAATAAAACAAAAAAGTATTGGAATTAGCAGATGCAAACTATCATATATAGAATGAACAATTAACAAGGTCCTAATCTATAGCTCAGGGAGCTATATTCAGTCTTCTGTGATAAACCATATTGGAAAAGAATATGAAAACCAGTGATTTTATATATATATATATATATATATGTATGTATCTGAATCACTTTGCTGCAAGCAGAAATTAACACAACATTGTAAATCAACTATACTTCAATAAAATAAACTTTTTAGAAACTATAGGCTGGGGAAGTATAGAAGTTATTCTGGTAAGAAAAGAAATTAGCATTTATTGTGCAGCTAGTATGCATTAGGCTCTTCAAGTGTGTAATTTTATTTAATATTCACTGACAGCCTGATTTTTATGGATGAATATATAGATGTTAAGTGATTTTCCAGGGCTGCACAGCTAGTGTCTGGACCAGTATTTGGATCCTGATCAGGTTAAATGCAAAGCCAGTGCAATTAGTTACTCTGAGATACGCTGATAGACAGTAACTGCCCATGATGATCACTGGTGGAGGAACTGATCCATTCTTCTCCATAGATGTTACTATAAACTGTCAAGCAAAGAGAATAAAATAAATCCTCTTCCTTTTTCTATTATATGTAGGCTGTTTCTAAAATACTAATGATGTACTATTAACAGAAGAAATTTAATTCAGAAAATCTTGCAGGAGGTTCAGCTGGTGGATTAGTCTTCTGTTGCTACATAATAAATGATTACAAACTTAGCAGTTTAAAATAGCACCCATTTGGGACTCCCCTGGTGTTCCAGTCACTAAGACTCCAAGCTTCCAATGCAGGGGTCCCTAGTCAGGGAACTAGATCCCACATGCTGCAATTAAGAGTTTACATGCCATAATGAAGATTGAAGATCCCACATGCTACAACTAAGACTCAGCCCAGCCAAATAATAAATAAAAACATTAAAAAAAAACACATATTTATTAGCTCATGGTTCTGTAGCTCGGAAGCCTAGCACCATGCGGGTGTCTATCACGAGGCTGAGATCAAGGAGTCATCTGGGCTCAATTCTTGGCTGGAGGTTCTGTAGAAAATTCTGCTGCCAACCTCATTCATGCTCATTGGCAGATTTCACTTCCTTATGATTGGGCTTCCCTAGTAGCTCAGTTGGTAAAGAACCTGCCCGCAATGCAGGAGACCCAGGTTCAGTCCCTGGGTGGGGAAGATCCCCTGTAGAAGGAAATGGCAACCCACTCCAGTATTCTTGTCTGGAAAATCCCATGGACAGAGGAGTCTGGCGGGGCACAGTCCATGGGGTTGAAAAGAGTCGGACACGACTGAGAGATTAAACCACCAGGTTGGTGAACATGTGGTTGTAGGTCTGAAGTCTCCAGTTCATGCTGGCCGTCAGCTGGGGCCACACCCAATTCTACAGCCATCACATTCCTTGCCACGTGGCCCTGTCCATCTATAGCCCAACAAAAGCATATTGACTCCTTCTTGAGTTTTGAATGTCTCAATTTCCTTTCTGTGACTAACCGAGAAAACTACTTTTTTAAAGAGATCATGTGGGACTTCCCTGGTGGTCCAGTGGTTAAGATGCTGTACTTCCACGCCAGGGAGCAAGGGTTCAGTCCCTGATTGGGGAACTAAGATCCCACATGCTGCAACAGCAAAACTGAAAAAGAAAGAAATTGAAAATAACTAACGAGAACCTACTGCGTAGCTCAGGGAACTCTACTCAATGCTCTGTCGTGACCTAAATGGGAAGGAGATCCAAAAAAGAGGGTATATATGTATATACATAGCTGATTTAAGAACCGACTCATTGGAAAAGAACCTGATGCTTGGCAAATTGAGGGCAGGAGAAGGTGGCTACAGAGGATGAGACGGTTGGATGGCATCACTCACTCAATGGACATGAGTTTGAGCAACTCTGTGAGGTAGTGAAGGACCGGGAAGCCTGGGCTGCTGCAGTCCACGGGGTCGCAAAGAGTCAGACATGACTGAGCAACTGAACCGAACTGATGGCTGATTCACTTTGCTATATAGTAGAAACTAACACAATATTGTAAAGCAACTATGCCCCAATAAAAACTAATTTAAAAAATTAAGAGGTCATGTGATTAGGGCAGAACCATCTGTGCAGTCTCTCTTCCCTTAAAGACATATTTGCAACCTTAATTACAACTCTAAGACTGCTACAGAGTAGGACCTACATTTATGTTTGATTGAATAACTGAGAGAAAGTGTATACACACCAGGCCCTGGGAACTTGGGGGACCATGTTAGAATTCTGCCTACACAGACAGTTCTGGATTTTCCTGGATTTAAGGAAAGTCTGGTTTACTTTACAAATTTGACTTGACTTTAAACCAGACTTTCCTTAAATCCAGGAATAGACTAGAACCCTAGAATAACACTAACACAGGTATTTTCTTTCTTGGCCTGGAAAGGATTTTTGTTAGAGTACTGGCCCTGAAAATGTTGTCAGCTTTCACTTTGAATATAGTTGATAATAATACATTAAAACCATTGGTGAGGGGGAAAGTAGAGTTTGTTATCTAAAAAAGAAGAATTGTAGTAGCTAATGTTGTGCTTCCTATTGTAACAGGTAAGCCTTGAACTCCCAGTGAGTGGTATGTAATAGAAGTTTTTTCCTCATGTAAGTCAAGTCTAAGTGGTTGGGGACAGAGATAATAGTGGTAATAGATAATAGATATATAATAGATAATATAGATAAATAATAGATAAATAATAGATAATAATAGTCTTTGCGACTCCATGGACTATATCCTGCCAAGCTACTATGTCCATGGAATTCTTCAGGCAAGAATACTGGAGTGGGTTGCCATTCCCTTCTCCAGGGGATCTTCCCAAAGTCAGGGATGGAACCCAGGTTTCCCACATGGCAGGGAGATTCCAAATCAGTGGAGATCCAAGCTAATGCGAGACTAACATCCTCAATACATAGCTTTCTGAGGTCACCATGGGTATTGACACCTAGCTGGTAGTGGGAAGGGTAGGAGTATTACCAAATCTAGGTCCCACTGCTCACCCCTCAAAAGCCATTCAAGAGGTCAGGTTGGTGGGAAGGAAGTGAAGTGAAGTGAAAGTTGCTCAGTCGTGTCTGACTCTTTGCAGCTCCATGGATTTTATAGTCCATGTAATTCTCCAGGCCAGAATACTGGAATGGGTAGCCTTTCCCTTCTCCAGGGGATCTTCCCGACTCAGGGATCGAACTCAGGTCTCCTGCATTGCAGGTGGATTCTTTACCAGCTGAGTCACGAGGGAAGCCCTGGTGGAAAGGAAGTGTGCTGTATTTTGGATACTGGCAATGCTGGGGGCGGGGGCAGGGGACGGCCCTGTCCACAGCCCAACTGCCCTCACCCCCTGACGATCAAGGGGTAAGAGCTTTTATAGACAGAGGAGGGTGTTACGTGCAGAAACAGCACATTCAGCTGACGGTCATCTTGAGATTGGTCATTGGTGGTCTGATCAGCAACATCTTGATAGTTTCAGGTAACAATCTTCAGTTCCAGGATAGTTTGTTTCCATTTGTTTGAGGCCAGTTCTGAGAATTGTGGCAGCTACAGTCTGGGCATCATGAGTTAGCTTCTCCATCTGGGGTTTCCGTATCTTTAAGACAGGATATGGCTCAGAATATTGTCTATAGCCCCTCAGAAGGAACTGAAGGTCCTCGACTATGCATAATGACTAACCTATTATTATTTGGTCTCTTTTGACTGTTTTCCTCTGTTTCTGCGTTTTCTCACTTCTCTGATTAAACTTACTCTTTGACTAAATTTTTTCCACAGACAAAAGGCAGGCAGAGTGTATGATTCAGGTAACTCAAACTGGGGCTCTGTGACAACCTAGAGGGAGGGGACATATGTATCCTTACAGCTATTTCATGTTGATGTATGCATGCGTGCTCAGTCACTTCAGTCATGTCCAACTGTTTGTGACCCCATGGACTGTAGCCCACCAGGCTCCTCTGTCCAGGGGATTCTCCAGGCAAGAATACTGGAGTGGATTGCCTTGTCCTCCTCCAGGGGATCTTCCCAACTCAGGGATGGAACCAGTGTCTCTAACTTCTGCTGCATTGGCAGATGAGTTCTTCACCACTAGTGCTACCAGGGAAGCCCCAATGTTGATGTGTGGCAAAAATCAACCCAATATTGTAGAGCAATTATCCTTCAATTAAAAAAAAAGTGCTGGCAGAGGACATGGGGAGGGGGGATGGGGGCGGGGGCAAGGACCATAGGGTCCTGCTCCATTTTAGAAGAAAGGAAGGAATGGAGAATCATACAGGAAGTTTTTCTAGGTCAAGACTGGGAATAGCATGTATTCCATTAGCTAGAACTCATGCATGTGACCCCATCTGGCTGCAAGGGGTCTGGCAAGTGTGGCCTGGCTGTGTGCTAGTGAAGAAAGGGAGTGGGTCTCTTGAATAATAGCCAGTCTCTATCACAGATGTCCAGTAAGTCCATCTTTACCGGGTTGTTCAGCTTGTAAATAACCAATGCTGTTTGATTTCCAACCTTCAGTGGCTCCGGCAGTTCCATCATGTGAAGTACCCAGTTCTGCTCTGCGTGGAACTGTGGTAGAGCTGCGATGTCAGGACAAAGAAGGCAACCCAGCTCCTGAATACACGTGGTTTAAGAACGGCGTCCCTTTGTTAGAGAATCCAAAACTGGGCTCCCAGATCACCAACAGCTCATACACAGTGAATCCAAAATCTGGAACTCTGGTAAGGCCATTTTAAGCATTGGCCTAGTAACTGTCTTGCATTTGGGAAAAAAAATTATTAGAACTAAACTAATGTGAGTAGAGGGCTGATACCATTGCTTATTAAGTAGAGAGAGGAAAGGGGAGCAGGAAGGATGGAGCCACTCACGCAGAGAAGTGAGGGAAAGCGCTGCCATGGGGGATGAGAGGAGAGAACTGGGGAGCTGGGCATACAAGGCTTGGCACCCAGGGCCTGAGGCACGCTGAGATGCGGTCATGGTGATGGATCAGGCCTGGAAAGGTACTAAGTGCTGTTTCGTATTTATAATATCAAAGAAATGCATGAAAACACTCTTGGGAAAGGGAATTCTCCTACACCATTGGTGGGAATGTAAATTGGTTCCTTCACTATGGAAAACAGTATGGAGATTCCTTAAAAAACTAAAAATAGAGCTACCATATGACCCAGCAATGTCATGGGGCGTATAGTTTTCCGGAGAAAACTAATTTGAAAAGACACATGCTTCTCAATGTTTATAAAGCACTGTTTACAGTAATCAAAATGTAGAAGCAACCAAAATGTCCATCAACAGATGAATGGATAAAGTAGACGTGATGTGTGTATATATACGTGTGTGTGTGAAATAATGCCATTTGCAACATGGATGGGCATAGAGATTATCATACAAAGTGAAATAAATCAAAGACAAATGTCATATGACATCATTTATTCCATCATATGTGGAATCTAAAACATGATACAAATGAACTTATTTACAAAACAGAAACAGACTCACAGAGATAGAAAGGGAACTTATGGTTACCAAAGGGGAAGGGAAGGGTAAATTAGGAGTTTGGGATCAGCAGATACAAAGCTACTATACATAAAATAGATAAACAACAAGGTCCTACTATACAGCACAGGGAACTGTGTTCAACATCTTGTAATCAACTATGAGGGAAAAGATTCTGAAAAAGGATAGAGATTTATATGTATGCATAATTGAACACCAGAGACTAGCACAGCATTGTAAATCACCTGTACTATAATAAAAACTTTTTAAAAACATCAGACTTGGGGATGTCCTGACCTCGGTGCCAGCCATGTGAGAACTGTGCCTATTGCCAACCTGTGATAGGATGTCTGTCATTAAACTCTGCCATGATTGGCTCATCAAAACCTCTGTGACTTGACTATCTAATACTTTAGCTGTAGTCCAGATTGATGGATCAAAAAGCTTTTCTAAGGAATATTGATGGAAACCTATTTTTTAAAAAAGCTCTTTCAAGTTAATGACATTTACAAATAAAGATATTTTACTGTCTTGTCTCTGAATTTTTAGGGTCGAGGTGGGAGTAAAAGAAGATCATTAAATCTGAAGCTTCTTTTTTTTCATTCAAATTAGTATGTCAGTTTAAAAATGCTGCATTTTTATTCATGCAGGATCACTGCCACAGTCGTTGTGAGAAAGTTTTGAAGGCATGGTAATAAAAATTTTAATGAATTTTAAGAGGAGAGTATAATGTTTATTTTCCTCCCTTGAGTCTGCAGTGCACAGTAACATTTAAAAATTAGATCTTCTGGTGACTAATATAGCATCTCAGTAAAGTGACTAAAGGATCAGCGTATCAGTGGGTGTGCTTGCTCAATAAGGAAGGACACCCTGGCCCTTTCAGAGTCAGCAGCCTTAGTCAGCAGGTCCGAGTGATTTTACACTAAGAAACTCGGCTGCAAACCTGCTGTCACACTTGGCTATATTTACTTTGCAAATTTATTTTTTCTCAGAGCAGGTGATGAAAAGCCCCAAGGAGAGTCTGAAATGATACAGATTCGCTTTCCTCAACCCCAACCCTTGAAGTATCCGTGATGTCAGAGGGGTGCAGCAGGGCAGAGCCAAGATGGGCTATTTCCTGAGAAATGAGCCAAAGACTCCAGCGTGTGGATGACGGCGGCTTCCTTTGAATCGCCAGTTATCATGCGCTGGGAGATCACTTTTGGCTTCAGTCTAACTTGTTGTTTACACATAAACCTTGGCTTTGAGTTCATGGTGAACATCATTAAAGGAGTCTGGTTCTTGGGACTGATGATTCCGTAAAGTGAGTGTACAAGAGAAAGCTTTCTATCCCACCCTGTTGAAGGATGCAGAAAGAGGAGGGATGCTGCAGGGAGTAGAGAAGAGAGAGGAAGGCCTCAAAGAGGTCAGAACCCTGGCTGTTTCTGGGCACGTATATTACATGAGGTTCTTTTAGGAGTCTACTGATAGAGTTATTGCTTACAGATATATTTTTTTCTTCCACGAACAGCAATTTAATACTGTTTCAAAACTGGACAGTGGAGAGTATTCCTGCGAAGCCCGTAATTCTGTTGGACATCGCAGGTGTCCTGGGAAACGAATGCAAGTAGGTAAGCATGAAATATTGGGAGGAACAAAGGGTTTGCAGTTAGAATGTGCAGTTATTTAAGGGTGGAGAGAGCAAGAGATAGGTTAAGGGCTAAGCCATGTGAAGGATAAACCAGAGGGAATATTTAAAGTCAGCTTGACATAATGTCACAAAAAAGCAAAGATGCTGTTTTAATCCACCTCCAAACAAGCCAAGGATATTTATCATTATATTTTACAGATTTTTAAATAATTATTGAAATAATATGCTCAGCTGAGCAATCCTCTTTCAAACAAAAGCTCAGAGTCTTACTAAGTGCTTGGGGTCAAGGATTGAGAATAGAGATTTGAATTTCAGCTTTGCCACTTATGAACTGCATGCTCTTGAACAAGTTAATTAACCTCTGTGCCTCAGTCTCCCCAAAATGGAAATAGTGAAATACTGTCCTCATAAGGTTGGTATGAAGATTAAAATAATATTCAAAAGTGTTAAGATGGCATTGATGTATTATGAGCACTGTTAATTATTGGCTATTTTAATTGTTAATTTTTTCAGTCCCCCAAAATACTATGTTATACTTATTGCAGACTAAAGAGACTTTTTTTGTTGTTTTTTGGGGTCTTTCAGCTGTGCCATGTGGCTTGCAGGATCTCAGTTTCCCAACCAGAGACTGAACCTGGGACACAGCAATGAAAGTGCCAAGTCCTAACGACTAGGCCAGCCAGGAACTCCCAAGACATGTTGAATATAGTTATGGATCTAGTTTGCTATAAAACATAACTCATATAAATTACATAAAATAAGCTTCTTAAAGTCCAGTAAAATTCAGATTCAAGAATCTTTTCAGACTACATGGGTTTCAGAGTGAGCATGATCATTTTTTTCAGTCTTATTTGTAATAAAATGTTTTAATTCTTTCTTGTATGAAAGTCATTTGTTTGAAATCAGTTGTGCAATAGAGAGGGATGAGCTGGAGATGGCACCCGCAGGGTTAAAGGTCACTCCGGGGGGCTGCATCCTAAAGCAGAGTACTGAGGGCTCCCCCTGATTCAGGAACTTGTCTTCAGCTTTGTGGGGTCAGAAGTTCATTTATTCAGTGCTTTTGAGGTATGCAGATGTGTAGGCAGTAATTCATACTGTCTGTGTACAGTTAACTCTGAGCATCAGTTTTTTTTAAAGAAACCATATTAGACTTCAGGATATCCTAAAGTAAAGATATTCAGTAGTATACTCTTAATTTCCACAAGTTTGAATTTCAGTTCTTTTTGAATTTCAGGTATACATACTATCCACCTAACTGACTCACAAGTTAAACATTTAGAGTCAGACATGAGCATTTGCTTAAATTATCAGAAAATATCCCTCTCAGTGCTGCTTTAGAGTTATTAGAAAAATTCATCCTTTTTCTTTTCTTTAAATGCTCGTATTTAATGTCAATATCTAATTTAGCCTCATCTTAAGAAATATTATCTATGAAGTCATAGTTTTGACATACTAGTTGGTTTTTTCCTAGCATGCAGTAAATAAATACATAAAATTTAGAATTTTGTGTTTTCCTAGTTCAGTTCAGTTCAGTTCTGACTCTTTGCGACCCCATTAATCGCAGCACGCCAGGCTTCCCTGTCCACCACTAACTCCCAGAACTTACTCAAACTAGTGTCCATTGAGTCGGTCCAACTGTCTCATCCTCTGTCGTCCCCTTCCCTTCCTGCCTTCAATCTTTCCCAGCATCAGGGTCTTTTCCAGTGAGTCAGTTCTTCGCATCAGGTGGCCAAAATTTGGAGTTTCAGCTTCAGCATCATCCTTACAATGAACATTCAGGACTGATCTCCTTTAGGATGGACTGGTTGGATCTCCTTGCAGTCCTGGAAGCATCACTTTAATTTGAACATGATTTCCGCATACCTGCACTTCCTGGTATAAGCTGACTCAGACGTCAGAATTACTTTGTTTAAGGCTCATCCCTTAATCCTAGATGTTTCACACTCTTGATTTGGAATTCACATCTTTGGAAATACATAATTCATGAAGTCTGATTTCCAGTTTTCTTTTTGAATTCTCACCAAGAACTTGTCACCAAAACCAGATCTGTTGACTGCTCTAAATCAATGCTTTGTAAAGTGTAGAAGAAAGTGAATCACAGGTTTGCTGGTTACTCCCAGGCCGCTTCACTGTACAGCCCAGAAGAGGCTACCTCACACACAGCTTGTGGTTCCTTTCCTCTCGGCCCAAATAATGATCCCCTCCTTTTATCCTGACTTTTTTTTTTTTAAAGAAAGAACACACTATTTTCATACATGTTACTACATTTTCTATTTAGTGAGGCATAAGGTGGGTAGTGTTGAGAATACTTGAACTCACTGAACTTTAAAGTTCACTTGTAACCTGATATTTAATCATATGGATTATTTTGTCTCCAAATGCCTGCTGGAGAATGCCATATATTTGTATTTTATTTCTGGATCATAGAACTTTTTCAAATATAAAAGGTTCTTATGAAACTTAGCTCTGTTAATATTTCCAGCCAATTTTGAACGGTGTCCTGTAAGTGAGTTAGTTGACCAGACTTAAAGAGCATGAAACTATCTGTTGTTTATGGTGTGTCTACAAAGGGGAGCTTTTTGAGCTTTTGCAACTGAATGACTCCATCTGTCCATCTTTTTGACACGAGTTCATGTGTGGATTCTTTTGCATTCTAGATGATCTCAACATAAGTGGCATCATAGCAGCTGTGGTCATTGTGGCCTTAGTGATTTCCGTCTGTGGCCTTGGCGTGTGCTATGCTCAGCGGAAAGGCTACTTTTCAAGTAAGTAAGTTTCACTCTTTGCTAGAAAACTTCTGCGGGTACTGAGTTTTCTTCCGAGACACTGATTCTTCTAAGAGGTTCTAACAAACTCTGGAGAACATTTTTGGTTAACTTTCCTGCAGTAGGAAATGTTCAAGATGACACTCTGGTGAGTCATGAAGCATCATGGCAAACATAGGGAGGAAGAGACAGAGCTGTCTCATCGCAACATTTCAGGAAACACCACAGAATCGGTGAGAGGCTCCCTGGAGTGGCATAGGGCAGCGACACCAAGAGATGCAGCGGGGATGGGCATTGATAGCACATGTTCATCTATGTAAGATCCTTTTAAGTCAGGAATTGTGCTTCTTAAGATGTAAATTTCTAGTTTTATGATAAAAATTTCATTGGAATAAATCTGTGAAATGTTCTATCAGTGTAGAACCACAGAATGTTAAATGTCACATTTAGCACAAATGTATTTAGAAGAGAATTGTTCAGGAAAAACTAGAAACCTATAGTATTATAGTTGCTTCTGAGGTTTTGATTTCTTCGGGTTTAGGTCTCTTGGAGCTCCTATTTGGTGATACAGTAAGTTTGAGGTAAATGGATGAGATTTTTAAGTGCTTTATTCTCTTAATGCCTTTCTTTACTCCTAGCCATTTTATGGTGAATACTACTTTTGGAAATTAGGTTTAAACATTTTTTTATACCAAAATAAAACTTAAATTTAAAGGGTGTTTCTAATGATACCTATAAATATGTATTGTAAAATGTTTTCATAAATGTGGTTTCAAGGATATTCCCTATTATTAAAAATAACTGCTCTGTGAGTTAGTAAGTAGCTGTTCTTTTGTGCGGTGTTTCAATCCAGTCCAATGTAATGTAATCTGGCTGCTGGTCCCCCTGCTGGTCATCCATGGAAGAACAGACAGATTAGATTGCTCATTAAAATTCTTGTCATCTCTTATCTCTATCAGCAAAGAATGTCTGTCCGAGTGTTTTTATTAAAGATTTGGTAAACAGCTTTTCTTAAAATAACGAATTATTTGAAGATTTTATATGAATATTATTAGTTCATTAGCTAGGAATGTTACTCTCATTTCATCTAGCCGAAAACCTCTCTAGGAGAGTTGTTTTCTTGAACCTGCATTTCATAAGGGGTTGGCAAACTGTGACTCATGGACCAGATCTGGTCTGCCACTTGATTTTTCTATGGACCACAAGCTGAGAATACTTTTTGCAAATAAACTTTACAATCTATCTGATAACAGGGAACTACTATTGAACACCCATTAAGAAAAATATCCCCCCAAAATAATTCCATGCTTCTAATTAATAGACCTGTATTACTAACTAGATTTTGATTATTATTTTTTTATTTCAGTGGGTTTATTGAAAGTTATTTGAAAAAAAATCTGTAAGTGCTTGGCAAAAAAAAATGCACATGCCTTTTTTTTTCTTTTCATCTTATATTGGAGTACAGTCAATTAACAATGTTACGTTAGTTTCAGGTATACAGCTAAGTGATTCAGTTATATTATGACTTCTTAATTCATTGATAAAAATTTTTGGAAATGTTTTTTCTCTTTTGTTATGTTAGTACCTACTTAATATCCTTGATTTTACCTCTTTGCCTACAAAGCTTAAAATATTTACCTTGTGGGCCTTTACAGAAAAAGTTTGCCAACCCTCCATTTAGAAGGTATAAATGTCAGCAAGTGAGAATCAAAATTGAAAACAAGGAATTAATTCCAAACTCATTTTTATATGAATCTGTATCATACCCTATTCTTACATTAATGATATTTACTTATTCTTTTGTAGAAGAAACATCTTTCCAGTAAGTATACTTTCTTAATGCATGCTTTCCCCCACATCAACTGCTTTTTTGTTAATCATCCGTTTAAATTCAAAAGTGGGAAGTTGGGTTATTTGTGAGGGTTTCATTCTTTGGGCAGTGACTTGGATTCATCAAGGAACACAGCCCACCTCATGCCTACTTATCAGTGATGCTTAATCATCTAGAAGAGAACTGTGCTGTGCTTAGTCGCTCAGTCGTGTCTGACTCTTTGCGACCCCATGGACTGTGGCCCGCCAGGCTCCTCTGTCCATGGGATTCTCCAGGCAAGAATACTGGAGTGGATTGCCATGCCCTCCTCCAGGGGATCTTCCCAACCCAGGAATCAGACCCAGGCCTCCCGCACTGCGGCGGATTGTTTACCGTCTGAGCCAGCAGGGAAGAAATAAGAGTCATTAATTTGACTTCTTAGGCATTTGCCCAGTACTACTTGAAAAAATCTTTTTTTTTCTATGTTTCCCTAAATTTAAAGTGTTCAAATAAAATTTTCTTTAGCACTAAATTTTACATTTAGTTGGATGCCAATTATGTGTCCAACCCCGTCCTAGGGACTGGTAACACAGCAGTGAACAGAACAGACCAAGAAACCCCTCTGTCCCATGGAGTTACATTCTAGCAGGGGAAGGCGGAAAGTGAACAAGTACATGAGCTCAACAGTATGTCAGATTGTGATAAGTATAATGGAGAAAAATAAAGCAGCCAGAGAACAGAGGATGCAGAGGGCAGGAGTGGAGATTATCTTTGTAAACAGGTGGTTAGGGAGGGCCTCACTGATGAGGGCATTTGAGAAGGGTTTGAAGGAGGGAGTGAGTCATGCAGGTAACCATGAGACGCGTGTTCAAGCAGAAAGGAGAGAACAAGGGGAAAGGCTGGGCACGCCTGGAGTATCTGAGGAACAATAAGGGGGTCAGTGTGGTTGGAGCAGAGTAAGAACAACTCGAGGAAGACATGAGTGAGCACAGTAGCGTAGTGGGGGCAGATTATAGATTACACACAACCTCTTCCCAGCAGAAGTTTGGCTTTGGCTCTGAGTAAGACGGGACATCATTGGAGAACCTTGAGCAGAGAGGTGGCATCTTCATACTTAATTCTTAAAACTCACACTGGCTGCTCTGTTGAGAATAAACTGTAAAGGTGACAAAGCGTGGAGGAAGCAGAGAGACCAGTTGGTTAATTACTAAATAATCTAGACGAGAGAAGATGGCGGATACTCCCAAAATGATGGTGTCGACAATTCAAGAAGTGACAGTCAGTCAATTCAGTAATTCAGTCATGTCTGACTCTTTGCGACCCCATAGACTGCAGCATGCCAGGCTTCCCTGTCCATCACCAACTCCCCAAGCTTACTCAAACTCATGTCCATCAAGTCGGTGATGCCATCAAACCATCTCATCCTCTGTCGTCCCCTTCTCCTCCTGCCCTCCTCCCTCCCAGCATCAGGTTCTTTTCCAGTTAGTCTGTTCTTCCCATCAGGTGGCCAAAGTATTGGAGTTTCAGCTTCAGCATCAGTCCTTCCAATGAATATTCAGGACTGATTTCCTTTAGGATGGACTGGTTGGATCTCCTTGCAGTTCAAGGAACTCTCGAGAGTCTTCTCCAGCACCACAGTGCAAAAGCATCAATTCTTTGGTTCTTACCTTTATGATCCAATTCTCACATCCATACATTACTGGAAAAACCATACCTTTGACTATACAGACCTTTGTTGGCAAAGTAATCTCTCTGCTTTTTAAAATGCTGTCTGGGTTGATCATAGCTTTTCTTCCAAGGAGCGTCTTTTAATTTCATGCCTGCGTCACCATCTGTAGTGATTCTGGGGCCCCCAAAAATAAAGTCTCTCACTGTTTCTATTGTTTCCCTATTTGCCATGAAGTGATTGGATGCCATGATCTTAGTTTTCTGAATGTTGAGTTTTAAGCCAGCTTTTTCACTCTCCTCCTTCACTTTCATCAAGAGGCTCTTTAGTTCTTCTTCACTTTCTGCCATAAGGGCGGTGTTGCACAATCTTGATTCCAGCTTGTGCTTCATCCAGCCTGGCATTTCATGTGGTGTACTCTGCATATAAGTTAAATAAGCAGGGTGACAATATACAGCCTTGACGTACTCCTTTCCCAATTTGGAACCAGTCTGTTGTTCCATGTCCAGTTCTAACTGTTGCTTCTTGACTTGCATACAGATTTCTCAGGGGGCAGGTAAGGTGGTCTGGTATTCCCATCTCTTTCAGAATTTTCCACAGCTTGTTGTGATCCACATAGTCAAAGGCTTTGGAGTAGTCAATAAAACAGAAATAGATGTTTTTCTGGAACTCTCTTGCTTTTTCGATGATCCAGTGGATGTTGGCAATTTGATCTCTGGTTCCTCTGCCTTTTCTAAATCCAGCTTGAACATCTGGAATTTCACAGTTCACATACTGTTGAAGCCTGGCTTGGAGAATTTTGAGCATTACGTTACTAGCGTGTGAGATGAGTGCAGTTGTGCGGTAGTTTGAACATTCCTTGGCATTGCCCATCTTTGGAATGAAAGTGACCTTTTCCAGTCCTGTGGCCACTGCTAAGTTTTTTAAATTTGCAGAATATTGAGTGCAACACTTTCACAGCATCATCTTTTAGGATTTGAAATAGCTTAGCTGGAACTCCATCACCTTCACTAGCTTTGTTGGTAGTGCTGCTTCCTAAGGCCCACCTGACTTCACATTCCAGAATGTCTGTCTCTAGGTGGGTGATCACACCATCGGGGTTATCTGGGTCATGAGGATATTTTTTGTGTAGTTCTTCTGTGTATTGTTGCCACTTCTTAGTATCTTCTGCTTCTGTTAGGTCCATACCGTCTCTGTCCTTTATTGTGCCCATCTTTGCATGAAATGTTCCCTTGGTATCTCTAATTTTCTTGAGGAGATCTCCTGTCTTTCCCATTCTATTGTTTTTCTCTACTTCTTTGCATTGATCACTGAGGAATGCTTTCTTCTCTCTCCTTACTATTCTTTGGAACTCTGCATTCAAATGGGTATATCTTTCCTTTTCTCCTTTGCCTTTAGCTTCTCTTCTTTTCACAGCTATTTGTAAGGCCTCCTCAGACAATCATTTTGCCTTTTTGCACTTCTTTTTCTTGGGGATGTTCTTGATCCCTGCGCCTGTACAATGTCATGAATCTCCGTCCATAGTTCTTCAGGCACTCTGTCTATCAGATCTAATCCCTTGAATCTGTTTGTCACTTCCACTATATAGTCTATATAATAATAATTAAGGGATTTGATTTGGGTCATACCTGAATGGTCTAGTGGTTTTCCCTACTGTTTCCAATTTAAGTCTGAATTTGGCAATAAGGAGTTCATGATCTGAGCCATAGTCAGCTCCCGGTCTTGTTTTTGCTGATTGTATAGAGCTTCTCCATCTTTGGCTGCAAAGAATATAATCAAGCTGATTTTGGTGTTGACCATATGGTGATGTCCATGTGTAGAGCCTTCTCTTGTGTTGTTGGAAGAGGGTGTTTGCTATGACCAGTGCGTTCTCTTGGCAAAACTCTATTAGCCTTTGTCCTGCTTCATTTTGTACTCCAAGGACAAAATTGCCTGTTACTTCAGGTATCTCTTGACTTCTTACTTTTGCATTCCAGTCCCCTATAATGAAAAGGACATCTTTTTGGGGTGTTAGTTCCAGAAGGTCTTCATAGAACTGTTCAACTTCAGCTTCTTCAGCATTACTGGTTGGGGCATAGACTTGGATTACTGTGATATTGAATGGTTTGCCTTGGAAATGAACAGTGATCATTCTATTGTTTTTGAGATTGCATTCAAGTGCTGCATTTCAGACTCTTTTGTTGACTCTGAGCTCTACTCCATTTCTTCTAAGGGATTCTTACCCACAGAACTAGATATAATGGTCATCTTAGTTAAATTCACCCATTCCAGTCCATTTTAGTTTACTGATTCTTAAAATGTCAGTGTTCACTCTTGCCATCTCCTGTTTGACCACTTCCATTTAACCTTCATTCATGGACCTAACATTCCAGGTTCCTGTGCAATATTGATCTTTACAGCATCAGATTTTACCTCCATCACCAGTCACATCCACAACTGGGTGTTGTTTTTGCTTTGGCTCTGTCTCTTCATTCTTTCTGGAGTTATTTCTCCACTGATCTCCAGTAGCATATTGGGCACCTACTGACCTGGGGAGTTCATCTTTCAGTGGCATATCTTTTCGCCTTTTCATACTGTTCATGGGGTTCTCAAGGCAAGAATACTGAAGTGGTTTGCCATTCCCTTCTCCAGCGGACCACATTCTGTCAGACCTCTCCACCATGACCCGTCCATCTGGGTGGCCCCACACGGCATGGCTCATAGTTTCATTGAGTTAGACAAGGCTGTGATCAGTTGGTGAATCTATTCTGAATCTATTTTGAACAATATGCTGATTGGATGTGGGCTCTGAGAAGAAGAAAAAATCAGAGATGGCTTCAAGGCTCTGGAAGGATGAAGTGTGAAAAGTTTACTGAAGTGTGTAAGGTTTGGGGAGGAGTATGTTGGGGAGTAGGGTTGAGGGTAGGTGGATACCTCAGGAGTGCTTTGGAATTTTAATATTTGAGATGTTTATTATACTTCCAAGGAGAGATAATTAGTGAGTAGCTGAGCACATGAATCTGGGATTAAGGAAGCATCTTGACTGGAGTTAACCAGGGCTTCCCTGGTGCCTCAGACAGTAAAGAATCTGCCTGCAATACAGAAGACCCAGGTTTGATCCCTGGGTCAGATCCCTGCAAGAAAAGAACAGCAACCCACTCCAGTATTCTTATATGGAGAATTCCACGGACAGAGGAGCCTGGTGAGCTTCAGTCCATGGAGTCGCAAAGAATCAGACACAACTGAGCGAATAGCACTTTCGCTCTTCTTAACTAGAGTTAGAAATTTAGGATTCATTGGTGCATGAGATCTGTATGAGAGCACCACAGCCCCCCGTTTATGTGCAGCTGGTTTGTCACTGTCCTCCTTTTATGAATGGAAATGGCAGACCCAACCTGGAGCGTATGGGCATTCTTCTCTTCTCAGCCACCATGGCTTCAAATGCCATTGATTTTCTGTGCCTGGACTTGCTCCACAACGCTGGTCTTTGAGTCCCATAGCATCCCAGGGCAAGTCCAGGGTGAGGTCCGAGTTAGCAGGGCTAGACATAGTTAGTTCCGGGGTGACCTTGGGAAAGCAGAGTAGCCCAATGATATAGCCACAAACTCCAGGCAATTGTGAATATTCCTGCTTTTATTAAGATGGAAAGTAATTGTAGGGACGGTTATGAACAGAGGAGAGACATCATCTTATATATGGAGAAAGGTTGACCACACTATGGTGAAATAGGTTATTATCTTTCATTGAATCACAGTGTGTCTATTAACCCAGGAAGTAATCTGGGAGAAAATATCTTTATTCCTAGATACGTCTCCTATTTGTCAAATCCATCTCCCTCAAAATATGTTGGATAATGAATTGGATGTTGCATTAGCCTGCTAGAGCTGCCTTAAAAGTGCCGTAGACTGGTGGCTTAAACAATAGAAATTTATTGTCTAATAGTTCTGGGATCTAGAAGCCCAGACCTCTCTCCTTGACTTAAAGATGGTGCTGTCCCTGTCTTCACATGGTCTTCCCTCCATCCATGTTTATGTCTAAATTTCCTCTTCTTATAAGGATATCAGCCATATTGGGTTAGGGCCCACTCTAATTAGTTTAGTTAATTTAATTACCTTTTTAAAGACCCTGTCTCCAAGTACAGTCACATTCTGAGGTAGTGGAGGGAATTGGTACTTGAACCTATGAGTATTTCGTGGGAATACAATGCAGCCCATAACAGATAACTGAAACCATAGTCACTGTGTAAAACTTTTTTTCCATGGAAAAAATGAAATTTGAGGTTGTAATGATCAAGCTTTCAAAATGTTAAATCTTGATGAGTTGGTGAGTTAAAAGTTAGTAAGTCTGTGGTTTGCATATTCTGCAAACTTTGTTAGTATCTAGCCTGAGGCTACAAGTAGATTCACAGGGCTTCACACATACTGATATATTGTTGCATGCTTTTCTCTGTGAATATCATCTATAAATTCAGTTAGGAGTGCTGGGCTTTTTATACCTGGCTAAGAAGCATGTTCTTCTTCCTGTTCAGAAAAATGTATTGAGGTAACATTAACTGAAAGAGGATATGTATTTTAGAATTGGAAGCAATAATGTAGTAAATGTTCTTTTTTATATTCCACAAACAGGAAGAGTAGTTCTGCATCTAAAGCCACTACCATGAGTGAAAATGTGAGTATTTTTAAAGCATATTTATAGAACAAATGTGTTTAGGGAGTTGGGCAGGGAAGTAAATTAATTGTATGAAATTGATGGATTTCTGCATTTAGTATACCTTGTACCCATGTCTACCATTGGTCTTTATAAGGAACTAAATAAATGTTAGCTCCCATCCCCTGCCCAGGATGGCTGCATTTGTAGAGCAATGGGGCTTTCCCATCCCATTATTTTCTGTCCTGGTGTTTTCTATTGTTAGTCAGCCTCCTTAGCATCATTAGATCTGGCATTATCAGCTCCATTTTAAAGATGAGGAAACTTTACTATATTCATTGATTAGCTCTAGTAATTTTCTGGTAGAATCCTTAGGGTTTTCTATGTAGAGGATCATGTCATCTGCAAACAGTGAGAGTTTCACTTCTTTTCCTATCTGGATTCCTTTTACTTCTTTTTCTGCCCTGATTGCTGTGGCCAAAACTTCCAAAACTATGTTGAATAGTAGTGGTGAGAATGGGCATCCTTGTCTTGTTCCTGATTTTAGGGGAAATGCTTTCAGTTTTTCACCATTGAGGGTAATGCTTGCTGTGGGTTTGTCATATATAGCTTTTATTATGTTGAGGTATGTTCCTTCTATTCCTGCTTTCTGGAGAGTTTTCATCATAAATGGACGTTGAATTTTGTCAAAGGCTTTCTCTGCATCTATTGAGATAATCATATGGTTTTTATGTTTCAATTTGTTAATGTGGTGTATTACATTGATTGATTTGTGGGTATTAAAGAATCCTTGCATTCCTGGGATAAAGCCCTTGGTCATGGTGTATGATTTTTTTAATATGTTGTTGGATTCTGTTTGCTAGAATTTTGTTAAGGATTTTTGCATCTATGTTTATCAGTGATATTGGCCTGTAGTTTTCTTTTTTTGTGGCATCTTTGGTTTTGGAATTAGGGTAATGGTGGCCTCATAGAATGAGTTTGGAAGTTTACCTTCTTCTGCAATTTTCTGGAAGAGTTTGAATAAGATAGGTGTTAGCACTTCTCTAAATTTTTGGTAGAATTCAGCTGTGAAGCCATCTGGTCCTGGGCTTTTGTTTGCTGGAAGATTTCTGATTACAGTTTCGATTTCCTTGCTTGTGATGGGTCTGTTAAGATCTTCTATTTCTTTCTGGTTCAGTTTTGGAAAGTTATACTTTTCTAAGAATTTGTCCATTTCTTCCAAGCTGTCCATTTTATTGGCATAGAGCTGCTGGTAGTAGTCTCTTATGATACACTAACAATGAGAAAACAGAAAGAGAAATTAAGGAAACAATACCATTCACCATTGCAACAAAAAGAATAAAATACTTAGGAGTATATCTACCTAAAGAAACAAAAGACCTATACATAGAAAACTATAAAACACCGATGAAAGAAATCAAAGAGGACACAAACAGATGGAGAAACATACCGTGTTCATGGATTGGAAGAATCAATATTGTCAAAATGGCTATACTACCCAAAACAATCTATAGATTCAATGCAATCCCTATTAAGCTACCAAAAATACCAAGCTAGTATTTTTGGCAGAACTAGAACAAATAATTTCACAATTTGTATGGAAATACAAAAAACCTCGGATAGCCAAAGTAACCTTGAGAAAGAAGAATGGAACTGGAGGAATCAAGCTGCCTGACTTCAGACTATACTACAAAGCCACAGTCATCAAGACAGTATGGTACTGGCACAAGGACAGAAATATAGATCAATGGAACAGAATAGAAAGCCCAGAGATAAATCCACGAACCTATGGACACCTTATCTTTGACAAAGGAGGCAAGGATATACAATGGAAAAAAGACAACTTCTTTAACAAGTGGTGCTGGGAAAACTGGTCAACCACTTGTAAAAGAATGAAGCTAGGACACTTTCTAACACCATACACAAAAATAAACTCAAAATAGATTAAAGATCTAAATGTAAGACCAGAAACTGTAAAACTCCTAGAGGAGAACATAGGCAAAACACTCTCCGACATAAATCACAGCAGGATCCTCTATGACCCACCTCCCAGAATATTGGAAATAAAAGCAAAAATAAACAAATGGGACCTAATGAAACTTAAAAGCTTTTGCACAACAAAGGAAACTATAAGCAAGGTGAAAAGGCAGCAAATAATATCAAATGAAGCAACAGACAAAGGATTAATCTCAAAAATATACAAGCAATTCCTGCAGCTCAATTCCAGAAAAATAAATGACCCAATCAAAAAATGGGCCAAAGAACTAAACAGACATTTCCCCAAAGAAGACATACACATGGCTAACAAACACATGAAAAGATGCTCAACATCACTCATTATCAGAGAAATGCAAATCAAAACCACAATGAGGTACCATTACACACCAGTCAGGATGGCTGCTATCCAAAAGTCTACAAGCAATAAATGCTGGAGAGGGTGTGGAGAAAAGGGAACCCTCTTACACTGTTGGTGGGAATGCAAACTAGTACAGCCACTATGGAGAACAGTGTGGAGATTTCTTAAAAAACTGGAAATAGAACTGCCATATGACCCAGCAATCCCACTTCTGGGCATACACACCGAGGATACCAGATCTGAAAGAGACACGTGCACCCCAATGTTCATCACAGCACTGTTTATAATAGCCAGGACATGGAAGTAACCTAGATGCCCATCAGCAGATGAATGGATAAGGAAGCTGTGGTACATATACACCATGGAATATTACTCAGCCATTAAAAAGAATTCATTTGAATCAGTTCTAATGAGATGGATGAAACTGGAGCCCACTATGCAGAGTGAAGTAAGCCAGAAAGATAAAGACCATTACAGCGTACTAACACATATATATGGAATTTAGAAAGATGGTAATGATGACCCTATATGCAAAACAGAAAAAGAGACACAGATGTACAGAACAGACTTTTGGACTCTGTTGGAGAAGGCGAGGGTGGGATGTTTCAAGAGAACAGCATTGAAACATGTATATTATCTATGGTGAAACAGATCACCAGCCCAAGTTGGATGCATGAGACAAGTGCTCGGGCCTGGTGCACTGGGAAGACCCAGAGGGATCGGGTAGAGAGGGAGGTGGGAGGGGGGATCGGGATGGGGAATACATGTAGATCCATGGCTGATTCATGTCAATGTATGACAAAACCCACTACAATATTGTAAAGTAATTAGCCTCCAACTAATAAAAATAAATGAAAAAAAAAATAAAGATGAGGAAATTAGGACACGCTTCTCACAGGATGACAGTGGCCACGCTGGGACCCACATACCTTTATCTTTGTCAGCTTGACCGAGCAGATGGCTCCCAGCAGATCTGTGGGTCCAGATTCTCCTGTACTTACTCAAAGCTCTTGTAAATTTAAGGGGTATGGAATGTCCTCTGCTTTTGCAGAAAGGAACATTTCAGAAATCCTTGAAAAGACGCAAGAATCACCGAACTCAGATGGTTAAGGGAACATAATTTGGACGTTCAGAACCTCGTGTACTTTTGATTAGTAAGCACTCCAGAGAAGCAGTTAATACGATCATTGCTCAGATTTTATAGCTCTTTGGATGGCTATTCAGCCTTCTGGACTAGCTTTCAGGAATCCAGTGGGAGGAGGGAGGTTTCCCATGTTTTTGAAGTCGAATTCCTTGCTTGACAAGTGGAGTGCTGCGTCCCTAAATTCCTTAGTACATTCTGCAGGGATTCACTTAGGTTTCCTTTCAGTAGAGCTTGGGGTGGGGCATGCACATCAGTTTTTTAAACACTTCAGTGACTCTAATAGACACTAACCTTTGAGGCCTATGTACTCACCCACAGAGTTTTTCCTACCAAAGATTTAAAAAATTGTCTACTCCAGAATCTATCGTGGAAGTCACTTTATTTTGTGGTTTACAGTACCGAAGCCTGTTGTTCCATAGAAGACAAGCAACATGGAACTCCATATTTGCTCCTATAATTTGTAGAAAATTACTCCTCCAGTGTGGAATAAAATAATCTCATCCCACCAAACAAGAAGAGATGCTTGGTGGCTGAGCTGGAAGAACAGAAGCCTCACTCTTTTTCCTGGTCTTCCTCTCCATTGCCGTCGTCAGCTGAGAACTAGTGTCTCCAGTTCGAGTTCTGCCCGAGAGCAGGGCTTCTCAAACTTGGCATGACCGACGTGTTCTTCCAATTCTTAGATAAGAATTTATATAAGAAACAACAGTTTCTTCTAAGGCTTGTCTAATTAATTTTTGTGATTTCACATAATTCTTTGTTGTGGGGGGCTGTCCCGTGCATTGCAGAATGTGTGGGAGCATCTGACCCCCACCAGCTCTATGCCAGTAGCATCCTCCTAGCAAACAAGATTTCTCCTGCTCAGATCCCCATTCCTACTTCTTTACTCTTTAGGCAGAGTTTCAGAGATTTGTCTCCTAATATTTAATTGCCCATAAAATAGATGTAATTAAATGTTTGCTTTGTACCTGCAAGATTCTCATAATGGGTATATCTTTGTACTTGTAAGATGTCTATATTTCTTAATATATGAATTAATACATCATATTTAAACTTGATTTTTCTTTCTCTTCCTAGGATTTCAAGCACACAAAATCCTTTATAATTTAAAAGAGTCCTACCTTGGCGATACACCAAAACCACAGTTGTTGCACAAGTTATTGAAAGATTATAAAACTCTGCTTTGTCTTATATTTGCGAAGAGGTACATGAGGATATGAAATTGGTATCGCATTATAATCTGTATGACTGCTAAATCACTTGAAATTTTTATACAAATAGTTCTGTGAGCACCTAAAATACAAATCTGGCTTCTTGTGTCTTGACAGAGGTATAGGAATCAAAATACTTTGTAATATTCTGGGGCTTTTGAAATGTTAAATAGCCTAACTTCTAGCAAAAGTTACTAAAATGTATCATTCTGGTTGTGAAATTAATCCAAAGAGTATGAAAATATCAGCTACATGCACCCTCTGTGAGAGTGTGATTTAGAGGGTTCAGGAAAATACTCTGACAGACACAAAAGGAGCCTTTGGTCTCATTCCTGCCAGAATCCTCCTTTTCCTCTTATCTAATCCTTATTCTGCTGCTCGTTTATCACTGGTCTAGTCACAGAATGGTGGCAGAATGGGTCTCATACCCAAGGATTTCACTCTGTGTGTACTTTCATTTCTGAGAACCACAAGCAACATGAAGAAAAATACGTAATACCAGAGCTCACTCACCTGGGTGTGTCCTTGATTTCTTCATTAAACATCATTTTGAGAGTCAAACACAAACCCAAGTGTCTTATTTCACCCTCAGAGCTGGTTGTTGCCATTTCCTTCCCCTGAGACTCCTTTGAAGGGGATCAGTGACCTTGGCATCAGAACTCGCCACTGGAGCCGATGCACACAACCCTGTCGATACCTGTCGTTGGGTGATGGTGACTTCACATCTGTCTCTAAAAACCAAGCAATGAAATTTTGCATTCGGCCAAGTGCCTTGCTGTTATGGCCAGCCCTCTGCCAGTCCTTCTTATGGCAAAGTCAGGGATATGGAGGGGAGGAGCGGTTGTCTAACCAGTAAAATGAGATGAAACAGCTTGAGCTCCCTTGGTTCCTGGCACCCTGTGCCATACTTGATACATAGAAGACACAGGAGAAATTAAATGAAAAAATGGGTCTGATCATCTGGTTTCTCAACTGACAGATCACAAAGACCTCCAGGTAGTGTTACAAAGTGAAAATTCCAATGATCCGTGTAATAGGAGAGCAGTTAGATTGTGTTAAGAACATAATCATCTAGAACTTACTTTGGTTATTCAGCTCATATTGACAAAACAATATGGTTAGGGCGTTCCCAGTTCTGGGAAAATCTAGATGAAAAGGTTCCTCCCTACCTTTGACAATTTTGAACATGGTTAAGCTGCTTTTGGACAACAGACCCTGGGTGACTCAGATGGTAAAGAATCTGCCTGCAGTGCTGGAGATCTGGGTTCAATCCCTGGGTCGGGGAGATCCCCTGGAGAAGGGAATGGCTACCCACTCCAGTATTCTTGCCTGGAGAATTCCATGGACAGAGGAGCTACAGCTCATGGGATCCCAAAGAGTCGGACATGGCTGAGCGACTAACACTTTCACTTTTCAAGCTGCTTTTAAAGGAGTTCACTCTTTTTGCCCAGCATGTGCTAAGTTGCTTCAGTCGAGTCCGACTCTTTGAGACCCTAGCAAATCCCTAGGACTCACTGGACTGACGACTGGATTAAGTACTCACCAAGAGCCGAATATATGCCTGGACACGTCCCTAGTCTGTCATTCAGTGATTCTTACCAGGATTCTCACCCTCCCAACATTTTCTGTGAAGGGCCAAGAAGTAGATAGTTCAAACCATACAAGGCCATATGGTCCCTGCTACAACTGCCTGGACGTACTCAGCTCTGCCATTTTTCATGCCATTGGAGCATGAGAGCAGCCCTAACAATAATTTTTTTAAATGGTCTCATTTATTTCATAAACAGTAAGCTATTGAGGTTAGCAATATCAATAACCTCAGATATGCTAATGGAAAAGAGTGACACCACTCTTAAGGAAGAAAGCAAAGAGGAACTAAAGAGTCTCTTTGATGAAAGGGAAAGTGAAAAAGCTGGCTTAAAACTTAATATTCAAAAAACAAAGATCTTAGCATCCTGTCCCATCACTTCATGGCAAATAGATGGGGAAACAATGGAAACAGTGACAGACTTTACTTTCTTGAGCTCCAAACTCACTGCAGATGGTGACTACAGCCATGAAATTAAAAGACACTTGCTCCTTGGAAGAAGAGCTATGACAAACCTAGACAGCATATTAAAAAGCAGAGACACCTTACTTTGCTGACAAAGGTCTGTCTAGTAAAAACTATGGTTTTTCCATTAGTCATGTATGGATGTGAGAATTGGACCGTAAAGAAGGCAGACTGCCAAAGAAATTGATACTTTTGCACTGTGGTGTTGGAGAAGACTCTCGAGAGTCCCTTGGACTGCAAGGAAATCAAACCAGTCAATCCTAAAAGAAATCAGCCCTGAATATTCATTGGAAGGACTGATGTTGAAGCTGAAGCTCCAATACTTTGGCCACATGATGTGAAGAGCTGGCTCATTGGTAAAGACCCTGATGCTGGGAAAGATTGAAGGCAGAAGAAGGGACAACAGAGATGGTTGGATGGCATCACTGACTTGATGGACATGAGTTCAGCAAGCTCTTGGAGTTGGTGATGGACAGGGAGGCCAGGTGTGCTGCAGTCCATGGGGTTGCAAAGAGTCGGACACGACTGAGCCACTGAACTAACTGAATGATAAACAGCAAGCAGTCGGGATCTGGCCGACATGCAGAGTTTCCCAACTGCTGGTGGACAAGCATTAAAAACAAAAGATTTATAATTCTTAGAGCACTTTTTGTTTCCATAAAGTAAAATTGTGTTGTATAAAGGTTAGGGCTCTAGAATCTAACAGCAACTTTTGTTTTGTTTTACTTTTATCATTGACTGTTGTAACTAGATTTATTTTTAGTGGGGAGTTTAACCTAACTAAATCTGGAACAATTGTCTTTCAATACAGCCTTGCAAAGAGCTTCCTTTATTTCACAGTTGGTTTTGTCTGATTAGAGTCTACATTAAAAATAGCAGAATGTAAAAAAAAAAAATAGCAGAATGTGTTCAATTTTTTAGCCCATTTAATGGTGCAGGGTAAGAGTCATCCACCTATTGTTCAGTGAAACCCAGGAAACTACTCCCTCTTACTGTCTGTAGCTACAAGGCTAAAGCTTTAGCTGCTCAAGATGAGAATCCTGTGTCTCAGTCTGGGTACCTGCCAACTTCTCCAGTGCTAAAAAAAATGCTCTGAAAATAAAATGCCGAAACTATTTATTGAACACTTTATATATGTCATGGAGGCTGGGGTGGATAGAGGTGAGGGTACATAAAATGTCATTCACCTCAATGATTGTATAAAAAAGAGGACAGTGTCCTCATTTTACAGATGAGGAGACCGACATGACCTGAGTCAATGACTGCCGAGTTTACAAAACCAACTGAAGAGGCAGGGTCAGTGTGACCCAGGTCCATCTGATCCAGAATGTTCTGCACAAGATGTTTTTTCTCTGCCCCAGCATTCCTTCCTTTTACATTCTCACATTCTTCTCTCCAAGGACACCTTCCTTTCATCCTCAGTAATCTCTGGCCCATCCACTCCTGTCTAGTCTCACAGCCTGTGACACTTTGTCCTCCTACCCAGGTTAGTCATGATGGGGAATTCCCTGGTGGTCCAGTGGTTAAGACTTGGTTGGAGCATTCACTGCCAAGGGCCCTGGGTTCAATCCCTGGTCAGGGAACTAAGATCCTACAAGCCACATGGTGTAGCCAAAAAGTTTTTTTAAAAAGCTACAAATCCATTTAAAAAAAAAGTTATGGTGAATCATTTTATCCCCTCACCAAAGATACTCAAATTTTAATCTTTTTTTCAAGATTGAAGCTGACCATGATAAATACATTTAAATTGTATCACTACCACCCTATCTTTAATCATCATTTTTAATGTTTATTCACAGACTCCATCATTCATTGGCACACTTTTAACTACTTTTATCTCCTGCTACTATCTCATGCCTTTTATCTTCTGGTATCTTACCCCCTCGATCACCCCCTCTCCTAGTAGCAGTTTCAGTCTCACTGTCCTGAAGGTTCCTTTGTTCCCTAGTCTCCCACTCTCCCACACCATCAGTTACTGCCAGATTACTCTCTTGAACACTGCCAACTCCCTTCTGCCTTTTGTCCCATCCCATTACTAAAAGCTTTCACTCTTTCCCTTTACTTAGTCTGACTGGGGTCTAATCATCTGAGCCTGAAATTCCAAGTGTTAAGTCACTCAGTTATGTCCCACTTTTTGACCCCATTGACTTATAGCTCACCAGGTTCCTCTGTCCATGAAATTTTCTAGACAAGAATACTGGAGTGGGTTGCCATTTCCTTCTCCAGGGGAATCTTCCTGACCCAGGGATCAGACCCAGGTCTCCCGCGTTGCAGTCAGATTCTTCATAGTCTGAGCCATCAACTGGTCACCAACTGAAATTCTGAGGCACCCCCAATCCACCCGCATCCACGTTGTCGTAGTCACCCCTGCCTGTTCAGTTACATGGTCCACCGTCCTCTCTAGATGCCTTATGCACCCATCGAACTGAATTAAGTTCATTTTATCTTAACAGCCCTTTGTCTTTCCTTTACTTGGAAAGCTGCTGATTCTCCTAATCACAGGGTATATGAATTCTAGTTACTTCAGGACACAGTTCAGATTCCACCTTCTCTGTGAAAACTCTCCTTGCTCAAAAGTTTCTTTCTTCTCTGAATTTCCATAGCATTTGATTGGTTTTCTTATGGCATTTCTTGATTTCCATTTAATACAGTTATATAGGTACATCTCAATTTAGAAGCACTTTGAGAAAAGAACCATGTTTTATGTACACCTTTATAAACCCCAGTGTATTTAACCATTAGGGCCTTCCCTGGTGGCTCAGCTGGTAAAGACTCCGCCTGCAGTGCAGGAGATGCGTTCAATCCCTGAGTCAGGAAGATCCCCTGGAGAAGGGAATGGCAACCCACTCCAGTATTCTTGCCTGGAGAATTTCATGGACAGAGGAGTCTGGGGGCTACAGTCCATGCGGTCACAAAGAGTCAGACATGACTGAGTGACTTTCACTTTCGAGTACTGAATGAATTTTAAAGATCAAAAGAGCATTTGGAAATGGCAATTCAGAGTATTTATTGATAAAATTTATCTATACTTAGAACATTAATAATTGTATTCTGCAATGTCATAATCCAATTCATTTATTATGGAATCACACAAATTAATGCTCTATGAACTAAGGCTGGACAAAAATTACTTTTCTATTATTCTACTCCTTTTAGTTATTAGGTATCCACTTGCACATAGTTCTTAAAAAGATCTTAAAATGTTTTTTCCTCTTTCAAGTTTTAAAGTTTAACTTTCCATCCTTTATTTTTTGTTATATATGGGCTTGGGGGAATTTTAGTAGTAAAAACGGGCCAGGAAATTCAAGATTAACTGTCAGCTTTTACATACTGATACTTCAGTGGTCGAACCCTAGTTGATGTGCCCCATGCAGGGGCCACAGTGGGACGTTGTCTGGAGCAGAGAAAGGTCTGCTGCGTGAGCTAAGCAAGGAGGATCTGCTCAAAATGCCTGAACTCCCTGATGGTTTTTAGGATTTTAAGGGAAGAGTTTTAAAGCAAAATGTGGTGAAGTAACAAGGTGATGTCTCAATCTCAACCTTCTGGATCTGCAAGCTTGTGGTCAGCATGTAGTAACAGTCCTGTGACGATTCTGCAGAACTCAAAAGATATGCATCAGATTGTTCTCTATAGCTCTTTGTGGGGGTTGGGGTGGGATGAGAAGGCCAGTGACTCCTGTCCACTAACTGCTTGAGCCTACTCATTGGAATTCAGCGTAGTGACAGCATAGGAGACTTTTATAAAGTTTTTTTTCCCTACAAACAAGAAACAGGGGACACAGAATTAGTGTATGCCATATTTCTATGTGACCAAGATTTTTTTTTTAAGTGCTAATTAACCCATACTAGAGTATAATAGGTCTTTATACTTTTGACTAAGAAAATGTTCTCAAAACATGAACGGGTGTGTCAACAAAGGACTTGTTTTTCTTTAAGGTTGAGGGCAGATGCTCCATTTTATGATGTTTTCAACACTGAATGTGAGACAAAGTGCTTCTTAAAGATGGTCTTCTTAAAGATGGTCTTCTTAAAGATGGTATAAAAATTGAGAATTTTTACAATCAGTTGTTAGATCCCGCAAGTTAGTTGCCATTTAACTTTTCATTCTCAACCTTCCTTTTATTCGAAACATTTAACTACCATCAATTATACTGAAGTTGCTATAGGTCAAGAAACTTATTTTTCTAAATTTTAGGATACCATACAGCAAAGAGAATGAGAAAAAAGTTTTATATCCGTGTAACAGAATGTTGACTGGGACTTTTTCTGTTATCTGAAGGCTGACAAGTACATTTTCCAAAGAAACTCATAACTAATTTAGGTATAAACACCTGCTTCGATGTTCATAAAAAGACAGCTGTGCTACCCTGAAATTATTACCATGGTTCTCCTTTACCTCAGCACACAAAATCCATAAACTGAACTGTGTAGGGATGGAGAGAGACCGAATATGAAAGTTGCTCAGTCATCTCCAACTCTTTGTGACCCCGTGGACTATACAGTCCATGGAATTCTCCAGGCCAGAACACTAGTGTGGGTAGCCTTTCCCTTCTCCAGGGGATTTTCCCAACCCAGGGATCAAACCCAGGTCTCCCACATTGCAGATGGATTCTTTATCAGCTGAGCCACAAGGGAAGCCTGAGATAAAGAATGAATTGTCCAAATTGTGTTGTCTTTGTCAAAGCTGTGAGTTCTATTCCCTAACTCACCCCAAGACAAGTAAAGAGAACTTTTGAAAGCAAACCACCAGCAACAATTGAAGGCACCTGCCAAATAGCTATCTGAGCAAAAGGCAAAGATATCAAGGAACAGAGAAGAGGAAATGGTGAGGCACCTATCTTCCCACTGTGTCTCAAAGGATCTGTTTTTGGTGCTCAAGTAGGCAGCTTGGAAAGTAGATAGTTGGTCTTGAGCCTTCCTGTCAAACACACTGAAAGCAAACATGTGAAATAAGAGGCTGTGGACTGTGTGGCTGAAGTGGGAGTGGAAGGGTTTTGGAAGAGACAGGTTGGAATGGACCTCCCATTTTAGGTAACCTGCATGAGGAAAGCTGCTAGCCCACAGAGCCCTCCAAGAACTCATACCTCACCAGAGTCAGCACTGTGCTGCCACACCAAGGGTAGCAACAGTCAGAGAAACAGAAAATCCTACACTAAATGGAGTTGAGTAAAAACTGCCCAGAACAGAAGCCCTCTTTGGTTGTTAACAGTAGCACTAGACAGACACGAAACAGGCAGGCCCAAGTCCATTTCTGGTTCCCAAACCTTTCAACTCAAATTTGTCCTTCTTGTAAGAACACCGGGGCTTCCCTGGTGGCTGACGGTGAAAAATCTGCCTGCAGTGCAGGAGGACCCGCCTTCGATCTCTGGGTCAGGAAGACCCTCTGGAGAAGAGAATGGCTATTCACTCCAGTATTCTTACCTGGAGAATCCCATGGACAGAGGAGCTTGGCTGGCTACAGTCCATGGGGTCACAGAATCGGACACAACTGTGCGACCAACACTTTTACACTTTCACCAGGTTTAGATTTCAGCTAGTACAGTACGCCATAGTAAAAATCGATTTCTTTTGAAGTGAGATAACCTAGTAAGAAAGACTCTTTTTCTCAACTTCACTTTTTAAAAATTATCTCCAAAGTTTTACTAAAGACACGTATTTCTTGACACGAGTGTCAGATTTAAAAAGGCACAGCTGCCTCTTTTAGAAAAAAAAAAATTAAAAACAGAACCGTCTACTTACTGAAATTTTGACGCACCTGCTCTGCCACTTATCTGGCACATCTGCTCAATATTCCATCCACTGGGCAAACACCACCATACAGCTTAATCTATTTTCAAGTCAATTGCTTTGTAGAACCCTCCTCTCCCCCGCCCCCAGCTTTCCCTGATCTATCCGCATAGCCCTGTAATAGACACGGTGACCATTACACTCCAAGGGGAGAGGAGGGAGGTGTTACTGGGATAATAAAAGCATTTAACACATGAGGAGATGGAAGTAAAAACACAAAGGAAGTCCCTGGATGTATTCACAGTCACACCCAAGTTCCCTGAAAAAGCTATGACCAATGATTTCGGAACCGTTTCTTCATATTCTGGGAGCAGGTGTGACGTCCTCCACTGCGAACACTCCTTTCTTCAGTCAGGATGGCTCCCCTCCGGCAGGCAGTAAGTCTCCAACAGGACACCTCAACGCTGAGGAGAACCTGGCGAGTTTGGGGCAAGTGGTACTCAGTTAATGCAAGGTCTCCATCTGCTTTCATACAATAAAACAGGAGGATATAAAAACAAAAAATTTGGGGACTTCCCTGGTGGTCCAGTGGCTAAGACTCCAAGCTCCCAATGCAGGGTACCTGGGTACAGTCCCTGGCAGGGAACTAGATCCCACATGCTGCAACGAAGAGTTCTCATGCACAACTAAAGATCCTGTGTGCTGCAATTAAGATCCGGCACAGCAAGTAAAGTAAAATTTATTAAAAAAAAAAAAAATTCAATACACTCAACTGTATACCTAACATCACCAAATAATTTATTTGAAATCAGAATTAAAAGAACATTTGACAGCTGTGAAATGTGTGTTTATTCTGTTACTTCTGGGTAGCTGTACAACTCAACTAGGACAAATTACCAGATCAATTTTACATTACTTCTTCAAGACTGTGGTTTCTCAACAACTTCGAACTTGGGGTCTAAAAAGAGGAAAGAAAGGTTCAAACTTAGCCATATTGCAATAAAGTATATTTTCTAAAAAACTTTAATATTTATCTCATCCATCTTCTGATTTTTTAAAGAAACATCTAGATGAAAATATAACTGTTAAGATTTATTTAGGACTTACAATGAACTAGGCTCTATGAATTTACATATATTACATCATTTAACTACAACTAAGAAGACAGTATAATCTTACCCAAATGTCAGATGAGAAACAGGGACCAGTTAGCTATCCCAAATCACACAGCCCATAAAGATACTTTCAGACATTTGATTTAGGTCCCCACCATTTAACCTCTACGCTATGTGATCTCCTCCAGTGGCATTTACCCCGGAGCTTGCCACACATGCCACTGTCCTAATGCATTCACACGTTCAGTTCAGTTGCTCAGTCGTATCCAGCTCTTTGCGACCCCATGGACTGCAGCATGCCATGCTTCCCTGTTCATCACCAACTCCCAGAGCTTGCTCAAATTACATTCACGTGTAATTGTCATTTAATCCCCCAAACAACCCATGTAAATATTCTCCACTTAAAATGATCTCCCACAACAATGAATCTGTGATTACAAAGACTTACCTTCAAACGTGAAGTTAGGGAATGTATTCATGTCTGCTTTACCATACATTTGTTTAAGCTTAAAAAGCTCCCGGTCTAGGTCTTGCTGATACTCTGGGCCAGCATCAACAGGTCCTCCAGATGTCCTATAGTGTACACGACCAAGTAAAAATGTATTTTAAACATTAGTTTACAGAAACAAAATTAAGTTTCACAGATCTTCCGAGCATAGGGAAGAGCAGACTTTTCTGAAAGGTAACAAGTATCTCAATTTGAATGTAACCTCAAACAATTTTAAATATGATGAGGGTTCACACAAATGAGGCAACTTCAAACAAAACATTCAAGGTCTGTCAGTATCAGTATTATTAAATGTCAGAATCTCTCAGCGTCTGAGCAGCAATAAGGTGTAATGGCTAAGTCTACGGGCTCTGGGGTGAAGGACTGCTTCCATTTCATTGTCAGTTCTACAACCTAGTTACTGTGTGAACTAGAGCAAGGCATGAAGCACTCCAAACTCTAGTTTCTACATCGACAACTCAGAAGTCTTACCTGATGGTGCTGAGAGAAATTAAGAGATTGTGCACATGTACCACTCACGGACCAGTGCCTGGCACACCGTGAACACGCACTTATCTACTTTCACTGTGCTTTTAAATCACCACCACTGAAGGGTTTAAGTCTCTAACAGCGGCCTATCAAAGAAGCAAATTACTTCCTAACCTCAGAGGTTTTACCATTTAGAAGAAAAAAAATAACATTTATGCTGTGAGGCAGTCAGGGGATAACCTTCAAAGACACAGTTTAACAAAAAGCTACTGAAGGTGAGGGGTCACTTTTGCTAAGCTAAACAGGGAGATTTCATTTTAAAAAGGTGACATTTGTGACAAACCATGCATTTGGGTCAGATTGTACTTTAGACATTCTAAGACTCAAAAGGAAGGATGAGAAGGTGGGAAAGCACTGGCTGTATGTGGGGAATGCTAAGCAGCCCAGATGGAAAAGTCAGCAGGACCCAGATCGCAGGAGGCCCAGAATGTAAAGCCTGGGAGTCTGTATTTTGTTTGCTCAGCAATGAAATGACAAAATTAAAGAGCCGTGCTTTGTAAAGATAAACCATCATGGACCAGCTGGGCTTTCCAGGTGGCTCAGATGGTAAAGAGTCTGCCGGCAACTCAGGAGACCTGGGTTTGATCCCTGGGTTGGGAAGATCCCCTGGAGAAAGGATACCCGCTAAAGTATTCCTGCCTGGAGAATACCCATGGACAGACAAGCCTGGCAGGCTGTATAATCCATGGGGTCGAAGAGAGTTGGACACAATAGCGATTTTCACATCACAGACCAGCAACGGGCCAATTAGACCTAATTAACTATTTGCACAAATTCTTCTGTTTGTCATGTTACTGCCCGCTTATCAATGAATAATATAATAAAAAAATTAAATGAAAATTCCATCAAGGCTAGTATTTTCACCTATGCCTGTGATAAAAGCATAGGATCTTATTTGTAATTTCAAAAAAAAAAAAAAAAAACACTGAGCGAGCTCTAATTTAAGAACTTGTTGATCATGTTTCTTGTCATGGACTCAGTTTTCTTCTCTATCAGTATGTGCAACAGAAACTTTCTATGATAACAGAATGCTCTAGATCTGTGCTGTCTAACATGGTAACCACTAGCCATATCTGGTATTGAGCACCAGAAATGTGCCTAAAAGGCAAATGAGGAACTGAATTTTTATTTATACTCTGAATTTGAATAGTCACATGTGGATAACAGACACAGAAAATAGCACAGTTCTAGATAGAGCCTTCAACCAGATACTTTGATGATTGATGATCATTGTCCAGTTCTGGGATTCACAAGCTTTTGGAAACATCACTCTTCCATGCCACCTTTCAAAATGTACCAGCTAGAAAGGAGCATTCCTTCCAAGAAGCTCCCCAAACACTGACTGTGTCACTACCTTATCACTTAACCTGTTTTACCTTCTATTATATTTACTTGCTTACAAACTTTCTACCCTCTTAGACTTGAAGAATATTATGGAAATGCCAAGTGGCTTCTTTCTTTGTAGCCCACCACTCTCAATAGTCCAGTTCTCTGCATATGGTAGACAACTAAATAAAAGAAAACAAAATTCTGAACTGATCTGTATCACTTTGCCAAAGATCTGGGGGTGAAATTTGATGATGGCCAAGGTCATCAATCACCTTCAAAACTGTGTGGTTCTGTAATGAGGTTTTCCCTGGACTTGCTCTATGCCATTTCAGAGTCTGCTGTCTTTTGACAGTCCCAGAAATATATTAACTGTGGAAGTAACGTTAAAAAATGCTGTGCTTATACATTTCTCCCCAAATCATGATGTCACAGAGAGATCACTAAATTGAGAGTTAGAATATTCTGAGTATATTTTCCCCATAACTAGGTTTATGACCTTAGGATAATCACCGTCTAAGGGGCTTAATTTTCTCAAATATGGTTCCTAAACGATTTCCAAGATCCTATGTACTTGTATGAATTGACTCCAGTTTATAATAAGTAACATTACAGTGGGGATATATCTAAAATGCCATTAGATTTAATACAATTCTCCCTGGGAATTCATAAGATAAAATTTGGGACTTAAATATCAAGGTCCTCATCTTTTTCGTTTGGAGCAGCTAATGAACCTGTACCATAGGGATCAGCTCAGTAAAAGTTCTTAAGACACTTTCAAACGCCAAGTAATTTTTTACCATGTCAAAACTTACATACTTTGAATATGCACATGAACACCAATACCCCTACCCACTTACTGGCGCTTAGTTCTATATTCTCTAATCTTGTCCACGAAGAGTTTCTGCACAGGATCAAGCTCCTTATTAAACGCCACTGCTGTGACACCAATGTTCCTCCTCAGAGAGACTGAGATTGCAGACTGAACAAGAGAGGACAACCTGAAGAGTCTCTGAAGAATCATGGTGATCCTGTTACTGGAAACAAGAGCCAGCATGTGAAGATACTTTAAAACAGACATAACTCTAAAACCCCTGTACCTGTGTTATAGTGGGTATCTAGTTCTACCAAGTGCTACAGAACTTAACCCAGCACCTTAGACCACTCAGCCACGCTACCTAGTTAATGCTACAGAACTTAAATCATACCAGAACTCAGTGAATACTAAGAACAGTCACCTGACCAAAGATCCCTTTTCCTCTCTACCCCTCACTGCAAGTGTTTCGCTTCACAAGCAAAAGGCCCTGGGACCTAGCAGCAGTTCAGAATCACTCAGGCCTCATGCCTCCACTAGGTCAGATGCAGAAAGAAAACACAAAATCTGGGATGGAGTGTTTCTTCATGAACTTTTTAGTCTTGACCACCCACCCTCAGCAGAGAGAGAGTAATACTGGCTCCCAAATTAGCCTACCAGGTTCCCCTAACCCCCCTCAAAAAGCAAAAAGGGCTATGAGCAGGGAGCCTGCAGACAGCTGCCTCAGCCTCAGTTGCATTTCACAGGCCCACAGGGAGAGAAACTGCTCCACCCGGTACAGCTGCAGGATTCCAGGCATTCACGAATACTGTAAAACCAGATCTAAGTCCAAAAGAACCAGCAAGAGAAAACAGCAAGGGAGTCAAAAAAAAAAAAAAAAAAAAACCACACACACAAGGGAGCCCACCAACAAGAGAGGGAAAATCAAGTGGTACAACCTCATCAGTGAAATAGAATTTGTGAAGAAGCCTGAATTTTAAGGACTTAAAGACCTCTAAGTTCTTAGACTTCCTGAAACTAAAATACATGATTTTCTAACTAAAAAATTATAGGGTATAAATCACAGGATGATTTCAATTGAGAATTCATTTAGTGTCTTGAAAAGATCAAATGTAAAAGTATCAATTATATGCAAACAGGAATTCCAAAAGAAAAATAAGGAAATCATAGAAAAATTAGAAGTGCCCCAGATTAATAAAAACTGATTAAACAGAAAGAGCTGACCAAGCCATGCTGGACGGATAGAGTCACACTTTGATATAGCTTGATAAAACTTCTGAACCTTAAAGTGAAACCCCAACATGCTAACTGGAGAAGGAAATGGCAACCCACTCCAGCATTCCTGCCTAGAGAATCTTGTGGACAAAGGAGCCTGGTGGGCTGCTGTCCATAGGGTCGCACAGAGTTGGACAGGACTGAAGTGACTTAGCATGCATTGGAGAAAGCAACGGTAACCCACTCCAGTGTTCTTGTCTGGAGAATCCCAGGGACAGAGGAGCGTGGTGGGCTGCAGTCTATCGGGTCGCACAGAGTCAGACACAACTGAAGCGACTTAGCAGCAGCAGCAACATGCTAACATGATTCTCCAGGCTCCCCAAATGAGTCAAATAAGCAGTTACACCGAACTACTAAATTATAATACTACTGCTCAAAGTGCGGTCTGAGGACTGTCGGCAGTAAGCATTTAGAAACTTTTACAGCAATCTGACAGAGTTTAACTCGTACCTGCTGAATTCAACAGTGAAAGTGAAAGTCACTCAGAGTCGTGTCCGACTCTGCGACCCGTGGACCATACAGTCCGTGGAATTCTCCAGGCCAGAATACTGGAGTGGGCAGCCTTTCCCTTCTTCAGGGAATCTTCCCAACCCACGGATCAAACCCAGGTCTCCCGCACTGCAGGCGGACTCTTTACCAGCTGAGCCACAAGGGAAGCAATTAAAAGTTTGTATTTTGTGTCTCCATTGTTTTGTCTTTCATCTACTAAATTTTCCAGTAATTCATTTTTACTGGATTCTTCAAAGATACCCACAAGGGCTGGAGGGAAAGTGGCCCTTTACTAGTGAGAGTTGGAAAGCATTAAGCTAGAAGATGAAGAGCAGCACTGCAGTTATCTAATCGCAGTGGGGATGTCCCACAGGAAATACTTGGCAATATTTGAAGACATTTTGGCTGTCCTGACAGGGTGTTACTAGCCTCTAGTGGTTAAAAACCAGAATGCTGCCAAAATCATATAACAACTACAACTATAGCCTCCCCACAACAAAGAAACATTTGGTTCAAAACGTCAATAGTGCTAAGGTTGAGAAGACCTGAAATAGCACATGTATGTGTTAAGTCACTCAGTTGTGCCCAACTCTTTGCGACCCCGTGGACTATAGCTGCCAGACTCCCCTGTCCATGGAATACTCCAGGAAAGACTACTGGAATGTTGCCGTTCCCTTCTCCAGGGGATCTTCCCCACCCAGAGATTGAACCCAGGTCTCCAGCCTTGCAGTTTCTTTACCAACTGAGCCACCAGGGAAGCCCAGTAGCACATAAAGACTATCAAAGTGAATCCTACAGTCTACCAAATATCCCTCACCCGCAGGATGAAAGAAAACTATGTGAATGACCTTAAGGTGCTGCTTCCCTGGCGGCTCAGATGTAAAGAATCTGCCTGCAGTGCAGGAGATCCGGGTTTGATCCCTGGGGAAGGGAATGGCAACCCACTCCAGTATTCTTGCCTGGAGAATCCCACGGAGAGAGGAGCCTGTGGGCTACAGTCCATGGAGTCACAAAGAGTTGGGGACACGACTGAGCGACTAACACCCAAGGTGCTACTTAGTGTCAGTCTCACTTCACACATACAGAAACTGGGGCTTAGAGGTTAAGTACCCGATCCCAGGTTACACAACAGAATCTGACAGGACACAAATACATTTTTAAAATTGTGCAACTCAGTGTATACTTTCCCTTTCGGCAACATAAACACAAACAACACTCCACTATAGGGTCACCCTAACATCTGTTCAGCCCTAGGTATTCTAAGTACTTCCATACATATTCTCTCCTGGTACCCTTACAGAAATCCTCTTAAGAAACAGCCAAGTATTCTACGTCTCCTTTACAGATAGTAAGACAATGCGCAAGACAGTTTATTAAATTACTCATATTCCCAGTTAATTTAATCTCACAGAGGATCATGTTACTCCTACTCCAACATGGGGGAAAATCCACTTTCACTTTTTCTGTCTCTATCATCTACCTATTAATGATTCCTAAATCACACCTAATTGTGCGTGGTCTTCTTCCTGAATTCCAAACCCATACATCAACACCACTCATCCCTTCATAAGTCTTATCTTGCTCTCAAACTCAACTTATCTAAAAAATGAATACATAATCTCACTATCAAAACTTGTTCCTTTTCCTGTTTCATTCCCCGCCCCCGCAACGATTGAATATCTAACAAGAAATATACACTTCATTACACAAATAGGTATATCAAGTATCAACTATGATTAAGTCCTCTATTCGAGTACTATGCGAGGCCACGCATGCCAGCAAGCATTAGATACACTCAAAGAATTGGGGACGCCAACAGCTAGAAAAGAACACAGCATAAGGAGAGGCCCTGTGCCAAGAGCTCTCCCGTTTACAGTGATGACTGGCCATTCCAAGGTTAGTGCTTTCCTCCAGAAAACCGTGATGTAAAACAAAAGCCGCGTAACCAAGTTTCAGCACTACCAACATTTTTAGGTGGCGTCCAAACTTTTAAGGTGACAACTGTCTTTTTCTCTCACGTTCTATTCTTCAATAGTTGAGAACCACCTCCCACGCGTCCGGGAAGAGCAGGCCTGGCGGCAGACCTGCCCCGCGGACATGACCTTGGGCTACCCTAGACAGGCTGCAAGTCCACAAAGCGCCGGCCTCCCCGCCGCCCGCACCACCCTGAGCTAGGCCCTCAGAGCGGGATTTTCTGGCTACTTATTGAATCTACATCAAACTTCAAGGCCGAAAGAGCCGAGGTCGAAAATGAGCCCGGGCCAGGCCGTGAAGGCGCCCCGGGATATAAGGTTGCTCTCTTTTCCAGAGTCCTAGAGGGAAAAGGGCATCTCATACCTCGTGAAGAAACCCACAACCCAACTCCCAAGAGGCCACGTTAGTCCAGTTACCCTCCCAGTCACCTTGCACTCAGGGCCGAGCCGCCAGCCGCCGCCGCCTCCGCCGCCCCGTTCTACTTCCGGCCCTGACTCCGCCCCCACCCGCCTACCCGCCATCGCAATGCATTATGGGCCGCCGTTTCAGACGGTGGACACTCACCGGACAGGAAGCGTCTCGGAGACACTCTGCGACCGGACGGCTCTAGGTGAGACAGAAGCCAAACAGGAGGAGGAAGTGGAGGGTAAGTGCTTCCGGGTCCTCTAGTGACGCCTCCGCCATCTTTCCTTCGCCCAACTTGACCCGCTCTCTTTTTCCCTCTCGGAACCGTGTGGTGTACGCATGCGCTCTTCGACTGGCCTGTCCCCTAGTTCAGTACCCCCGGCCCCGATTCAGCGTCCTATTCCTTGGTTGGGGGTTGGGGGGTTGTTGAGGTATACGATTGTGCAGAGTGACAGTGTAAAACAAAGCGATCTGGGGCGTTGCTGCTCCCTTGTGCCTCGTGAGCCTCCGTTGCCTCAGGCGTCCGTTTCGCGCAACCTGCTGGGAGTTGTAGTCCCGGACCCGGGGGTGCCTGGGAGGCGGGAGTGGGGGGGTTGGAGTTTCTCTGCGCCGTTTTCGCGGGAAGGGCCCAGGGGCCTCCCACTTCGAGTCGCGGGAGCTGCGGGTCTTACCGGGAGAGACGCTGCACGTGGAGCCCGCGCCGCTGTGCTTCTCAGCCGGCTCTGGAGCGCGGGCGGGGGCGACGGGGCCGAATCCGGAGCGGGTGAGTGCGGCCGCGGGGGAGGAAGCGAGCGCGGGCCCGCGCGGGCCGCCTGCGTTCCGGGGCCTTCTCCCCCACCGCGGCCCCCCCGCGGCCGCCTCTGTGTTTTGTTTCCGCTGGTCCCCGGCGCTGTGACTCCCATTTCCGTTCGTGGAGACTTGAGGGAGCCGGGTGGGGAGGGGCGGGGGACGCTACGCGGAGAGGGGCGGGGGGCGCGCGGCGCGGGGCTCCGCGAGGCCGCGCGCCCCCGGGGCCCGGGTAGTTCCTGTCACCTCTCGCCGCCCTCTCGCCGCCCCCTCCCCGCCCTGTGCCCCTGCTCGGCTGTCCGCCGCGCTTCGCCGCCGTCGCCGCCGCCGCGGTCGGGACCTGATCCCGACGCCCCTGGGATTTTACAGGACGATGCCATATCGATCTTCTTGCCAACTCAGCGATGCGCTCTCCCTTCGCGTCCAGTGGTCTTTCTAGAATTGTCTTACAGTTGCGTTAAAGCCATCTGTTTAATGTTTGTGGTGTCCTTTGGGTTTCTTTTAGAAACGAGGAAGTGAGACAAAGAGAAAACGATGGGTTAGTGTAGCTTGTCAGCTTTTTAAGTTTGTTTTTGCAGGCTGGAAGATAAGCCAACAGCATCTTTGTATTTAGGAATCCCAGTTTGATTAGGTTAACGGCAGGGAGGACCACGCCTAATGTTGCACTGCTGGAGATTAGTGATTTAGAAATACTCGCTGTAGTTCTCAGCCTTGGAGGTAGCAAAGGTTTAGAAGGGTCCATTTAAGCAAAGAACTGGGCAGAGATAATGTTCTTCGGTATTGTATTGTCTTAATGTCAGAAGAAACTGGGTCAACTAGTTCGAAACGGGAGGGAATAATAAGTTCTCTCTTTTAGGATTTGATCCAAGCTTTCCAGCCTTACTTATATTCAGACAAATTCTGACGCGAGGTGGACTTAACGTCAGCTTTACCTGGATTGCGTCTACAGGGGCAATGACATGAGGCGTGAATCGTCTTAAAATAAGAATCTAAATAATGAGCTGGGTGTTTAATGGAGGAATATGTGGAGGCTGAACAGTCAATTAAAACTGTTGACTTTAATCTCCCTCCAACTTTTATTTATAAAACTTCGCCTAGAGGAAAATTCAAATAATTATACAGTGAAATTGTGCAGGGTACACCTTCACCCCCAGAATCGCCAAGTTTGCCACACTTTCTCCACACTTGCTTTCTCTCCACATGTATACACACAGGTGTCTGTGTTTTACTTTTTCTTAGCTATTGACTTTTATCGTTAAAAAACAAAAATGTCTTTTTTCTCAGAATATTTAACAGTATTTTTTAACTTGAGAAAAACTCCCAGATTACACTTACATTTATTTATCCTTCATTTACTTATTGTTCTTCACTATGAAAAATCATCCTAAACTCTGTAAACTAATAATGTGCTCCAATGGAGAATAATCCTCAAATTTATCTGTGGCTTTTAAAGATAATGGTGAATATAACTGTATTTTAAAGAATACTAGCCTTTCCTGGAATTTTTAGTTAAATATAAATTTGTATTCGTTTTGTGAAGTGTTCTGAATTCAGGTTCGATTTAATCAAGGAAAAACCAGTGTCAAGGGACATTTTCCTAGGTGGAAAGTCTCCATGTAATACTGTCTTCTCCATTTTCTTAAGTATTGACATAGAATCCTGGGCAGTTGGCTCCAGGAGAAGAACTAAGATCCACTCAAGCAATGACAGCAAAGATTTGGACAGCTTGCCAAATGTCTCCATTGCTTCTTTATGCTAAATTTAGAGAAATGAGAAAGATCAATTCAGAGACTTCAGTAACACAGTGTTTTCCAAAAGTGTATTGGATTCATTTCCGCCGCCCCCCACCTCCCCCGGCACCTTTTAGAGACTGATCTCTAACTTTTTTGAAAGATCACCGTATGAATTTCTTTTAACAACTCTGTTTTAGTGCTTCTGTCAAGAGGTGTGCCAAGTATCCCTGTTGATCAAAGCCCTTAGGGCCATTTCTCAGTCTGGTAGTTACAGAAAACCGGATTCATCTTTTTGTGTGTGAGACTAAAGACAGCCAAGCCAAAGAGCAGGAGAAGAAAAGATTTATTACTTAGAGCAAGAAGAACAGCGGGGGATCTTTCCCAAAGCAGCATAATTGGGAAAAGCTAAGGATATATGCATATTCATGAAGGAACTTGAAGAGGAGAGTTCAAGATAGGATTGGGGCAGAGGTTGACAGCATCCAAGCTTTAGTTGATTGAAGTCACCAAGGTCAGAAAAGGTCAATATCGTCATCCTTTAAGTTATAGTTGATCTAGTGGTTAGCACTATAGGAGGGTTTAAATTCTGCAGAGCAGCTCAAGAAAGTGCTTCAGGCTAATCTTTACCATGGAAACAGAACCTGGAGTTTTTATACTGATTTATAATCTTTGCTATTGTTACTCCTTAAGAGCATTATTACTGAGATCTATTCAAGGGTAAGCATTGTGGTTAGGCTTAGATCTCAAAATGGCTTAGGAAGAAAATGGCTTCTATTTGTCAAAAGCCATGCCTGATTCTTCTTTCCTGGGGACCTCCTACCCTATCTGCTTACAGTGCTTTCTTTTTTGTTTGTTTTAATTGTTTATTTGAATTTTATTGGCCATGCTGCGTGACCTGTGGGATGTTAGTTCTCGGACCAGGGATGGAAGCCGTGCCCCCTGCATTGGAAGCATGGAACTTTAATCACTGGACCATCAGGGAAATTCCTAAAATTCTTTCTTTTTTTCTGAAGTCCTTAGAAAATTCACTCGTTTTAAAAGTTGGTTATGGAAATGGGAGTGGACTTGCTCGTGGACCCTGAAAAATAAAACATAAATGACCCTTTTAAATTTTGTCCTGCTATAGGGACGGGGGAGCCAGGTGGGCTGCCGTGTATGGGGTCACACAGAGTCGGACACGACTGAAGAGATTTAGCAGCAGCATAAGCCTTAATCCGTTTCTCACTTTTTTTACGTACAGTTTCTATGCTTTGTGTGTTCATTATCTCCTTGTTTCTGTTACTAAAGTTCCATAGTGCCTGCTGCTTTCACATCTTGTATCTGCAGTACTCTCTTATCACGGGTTCGTGTATTGGCTCCAGGTTTCAGCTGTCTCCAGGAAAGCTACACTTAACATATTATCAACCACTGTGAGAATGTCTCTGGAATGCTTATCTAAGGGCAAGATTGCTGGGTCATAGGTATAATCACTTCATTTGAGCAAGTGCTGCTAGATGTTTCTCCATAGTAGTCAGTCCTGTGTGTCCTCCATCACCAGAGGCAGGATACCTGTGCTCCCAAGTCCTACTGCTCTTTTCAGTATTCAGCATTCTAATCTTTGCCGCACACACACAGAATAAGGTGAATAGCTTGAACATGAGCATCTCCTCACGTCCTTAGCCATTTTGGTTTCCCTTTAGGTGAGTTTCCTTCTTTGCCTGCTTTTCTGATTTGTCCTGACTTTTGAGGGATTGTTACCAACTTGCAGGAGTTCACTGTGTATTCCAGTTATTTTTTCCTTATCACGTATGGATATTGGAAGGGTCTCTTTCTAGATTATATCTTGTCTGTTGAACATAGATCTTAACTTTTATGTAATGAAATTATCAGGTTTTTTTTCCTTATGATATATGTTTTTGGAATTTTAAGAAATGAATGCTTTTCTATCCTTAGACCACAAAAAAAATTCCACCACTTTGTTCTATTGTTTTATAGTTTTACCTTTCCCATTTAAGCCATCTAGATTTCTGAAGTCAATTATATGGTGTGAAATGGTTCTTATCAGTCTCTTCAGTCACTTAGTTGTGTCCAAGTCACTGCGACCTCATGGACTGCAGCACCCCAGGCTTCCCTGTCCATCACCAACTCCTGGAGCTTGGTCAAACTAATGTCCATCGAGTTGGTGATGGCATACAACCATCTTGTCCTCTGTTGTTCCCTTCTCCTCTTGCCTTCAGTCTTTCCCAGCATCAGGGTCTTTTCCAGTAAGTCACCTCTTTGCATCAGGTGGCCAAAGGATTAGAGCTTCAGCTTCAGCATCAGTCCTTCCAATGAATATTCAGGACTGATTTTCTTTAGGACTGACTGGTTTGATCACCTTGCAGTCCAAGGGATTCTCAAGAGTCTTCTCCACCACCACAGTTCAAAAGCATCAATTCTTTGGCACTCAGCTTTCTTTATAGTCCAACTCTCACATGACTATTGGAAAAACCATAGCTTTGACTCGATGGACCTTTGTTAGAAAAGTAATGTCTTTGCTTTTTAATATGCTGTCTAGGTTGGTCATAGCTTTTCTTCCAAGGAGCAAGCATCTTTTAACAACATGCAGTGATTTTGGAGCCCAAGAAAATAAAGTTTGTCACTGTTTCCATTGTTTCCCCATCTGTTTGACGTGAAGTGATGGACCGGATGCCATAATCTTTGTTTTTTTAATGTTGAGTTTTAAGCCAGCTTTTTCACTCTCTTGTTTAACTTTCATTAAGATGCTTTTTAGTTCCTCTTCACTTTCTGCCATAAGAGTGGTGTCATCTGTGTATTTGAGGTTATTGATACTTCTCCCGGCAATCTTGATTCCAGCTTGTGCCTCACCCAGCCCAGCATTTTGCATGATGTACTCTGCATATAAGTTAAATAAGCAGGGTGACAATATACAGCCTTGATGTACTCCTTTCCCTATTTGGAACCAGTCTGTTGTTCCATGTCCAGTTGTAATTTGCTTTTTGACTTTCATACAGATTTCTCAGGGGGCAGATAAGGTGGTCTGGTATTCTGATCTCTTTAAGAATTTTCCACACTTTGTTGTGATCTACACAGTCAAAGGCTTTGGCATAATCAATAAAGCAGAAGTGGGTGTTTTTCTGGAATTCTCTTGCTTTTTCTATGATCCAGTGGATGTTGGCAATTTGGATCCCTGGATCTTCCCAACCCAGGGATTGAACCCAGTCTCCCGCATTGCAGGCAGATTCTTTACCAGCTGAGCCACAAGGGAAGCCCAAGAATACTGGAGTGGGTAGCCTATCCCTTCCCCAGCGGATCTTCCCGACACAGGAATCAAACCGGGGTCTCCAGCACTGCAGGTAGATTCTTTACCAGCTGAGCCACCAGGGAAGCCCCTTTGGTTTTTATAACATTCACTTATTAAACACACTTTAATACAGAGCTTGCAAAAGGAGAGGCACTGTTCAGAGTTCTTTGTGTACATCTGTGAACAAACACGCCTTCCCCGGTGAGCTTACACTCTTCTATTCTTTACCAACTGAGATATCAGGGAAGTCCAAAAATGACAACTATTTGAAATACAGGAGCCCCAAGGATCTGCTCATAAGTGAAAGTTGCTCAGTTGTGTCCGACTCTTTGTTTGCAATCCCATGGACTCTACAGTCCATGGAATTCTCCAGGCCAGAATACTGGAGTGGGTAGCTCTTCCCTTCTCCAGGGGATCTTCCCAACCCAGGGATCGAACCCAAGTCTCCAGCACTGCAGGTAGATTCTTTACCAGCTGAGCCACCAGGGAAGCCCCTTTGGTTTTTATAACATTCACTTGTTAAACACACTTTAATACAGAGCTTGCAAAAGGAGAGGCACTGTTCAAAGTTCTTTGTGTACATCTGTGAACAAACACGCCTTCCCCGGTGAGCTTACACTGTTCTACAAGGCTGGTCCCTACTGGGTTACTGCCACCAGTGCTTGGCTTTAGTGCTCATGTTGAATTCCACAGTTTTAACACGTAGTATCAATTAAGAAATGGGCTTTATGAAGAAAGGAAAGACTGAGTAGGCTTTGGTCAGCAAGAAAGGAAGACAAAAGCCCTTCATTCTTCTGTCATCCCAAACAAAACCTGCTGGGGCCTAGGCATTCTGCTGGATATGCATGATATGTGTCTGTCTCAGTGGGGAGCCCCATCCTCTCATTATTATTCTTTCTTGATATAGGGGAGCTGTGAGAGGAGCCTTTATAATGAGGGAGAAATCAGATCGTTTTTTCTACCAGAAAGTCTAGGTTCCGATGCCAGAATTTAGAGACTTAAGTTATCAGAAAACCAGCCCCAACCAGTTGGATATTTTTGGACCTGAGGAGAGTTACAACCTTTCTAAAGTGGAAAAGAAGACTTATTAGTTTCCTGAAACTACAGTAACAAATTACTACAAACTTAGTGGCTTGAAAACACCAATTTATTATCATATGTTCCTGAAGTCAGAAGTCTGAAATGGGTCATTCTGGGATAAAATCAGGTGTTGGCAGAGTTGTATTTCTTCTGGAGGCTCTAAGGGAGGCTCTGTCTCCTTTCTTTTTCCAAGTTTTAGAAGCTGCCTGTCTTCATTGGATTCTGGCTCTTTTTTTTTTTTCCCATCTTCAAAGCCAATCACAGCCAGCCAGTTGAGTCCTCACTTTGAATCTCTCTGGATCTCTTTAGATTCTTCCTCTTTTAATGATTCTTGTGATTCCACTGGACTCACCTGAATAATCCAGGATAATCTCTGTATTTTAAGGTCAGCTGATTAGTAGATGTCCCAGGAAGCGCAGTACTGAAGAATCTTGTCTGCCAATGCAGGAGATGCAAGAGATGTGGGTTCAATCCCTGGGTTAGAAGATCCCCTGGAGGAAGAAACAGCAACTCCAGTATTCCTGGGAGATACCAATGGGCAGAGGAGCCTGGCGGGCTACAGTTCGTGGGGTCTCAGAGTCGGACATGACTGAGCACGCATGCACTATTAGTAAACTTAATTCCCCTTAGCCGTGTGATTTGCTTTAATCACAGGTTCTGGGTGGTTACCATGCCTTGGGAAGTTGAGACCTGGGAAAGCTCCTCCCACTTCCAGAAGCTAAGGGAAGTCCCTAGTCCAGGCAAACCAACCTAAGTTCCTGGAGTTCTTTTTGGGCAGTTTTGGTTCTTGCAACTTGACAGCGATCCAGCAGAGAAAGAAAGACAATAAATACTAGTGTGTTAGAAGGTGAGTGCTGTGGGCAAGAAGGAAGATGCACGAGCAAGGAAGGAGGCCAGTGTGGGCGAGGGGGTCGGAGCAGTGATGGCGGGAGGATGAGGAACCCTGTGAAGTGGCCCGGGACTCTTCCCAGGACTGCTGTCAGTCCGAGGAGTGCTGTGCTGTAACTTCATTTGTGAAGGTGATCACGCCGGCTGTTGTATCCATTGAGAACAGACTGTGAGGGAGCGCGGGCACCGACACGGGGGGAGGCCTGCCAGAAAGAGGCTGCTGCAGTGTTCCGGGTGAGGCGTGCTGTGGCTCTTGGGCTAGTGTCTGCAGAATAGACCCACCTTTGAGCAAACTGGTAAAGCGTGTGCTTGCGGTGATGGACCTCTAGTGTGACAGTGTGGAGCCCCAGGCAGCCTAGTCTCACTAACCTGAATAGTTTTCATATAAGGGTGGGCTCAAAATAAGGTTATGTGCAAAGCATTTGAATGTGGTGCCTGATACTCTGTAAATAATGGTTATCATTAAGAGGAATGAATATTTACCATTTCTTCATTTTGTCAGATCTTCAAAGTGGAAGCATGAACTCCTTTTCAGATTTTAAAGTACCAAATTTAGAGGTCCATTCCTTGTAAGTCAAAGAGTCAAAGGCACATAAAAGTGCTTTTTTACATCTAATAGTAAACTTAGAAAAGTGTACTCTGAACTGAGGGTATATGTGGAATCCAAAGACATGCTTTATTCCTTTAAGAATTCACTTACCAATGAAGGAGACACAGCTTCGATCCCTGGATGGGGAGGATCCCCTGGAGTAGGAAATGGCAACCCACTCCAGTATTTTTGCCTGGAAAATTCCATGGACAGAGGAGCCTGGCGGCCACAGTCCATAAGGTCTCTAATAATAGTCAGACGCAACTGACTGACTGAGCACGTGTGCAAAGTGAGGTTGTAACAACCTGTAACTTACAGCATTAACACCTTGGAAATGGACATAAAGGATTGCCAACATATGCAGCTATTTTATGCATTACTTAGCATTTTTCAAATTATAACGTTTCAGTATTGGTAGTGCACATGGTACAAAATGGCACATAATGTATCAATGGTACAAAAATCAATGGAAGTTTAATGTAGTAAGTAAAAATTTTACATGCGAGAATTAAAGAATGTAATAGTTTGATTAAAAGGTATAAAACCACATCTGAAAAATAATCATTAAGAATTCTAGTGTGTAATCAGGGGAGTAATTCACATATCTATGATTTTGTTACTTTATTTTGCCTTTTGAGAATATTGTACTGGCATGTATAAGGTATGTAATTTGTAACATAAATCATAGCTTGGGTTAATTTTTAATTTAGCTTTCTGTCAGTAGTGGTTTACTGTAAACTCTGCTATTAAAGTACAGCTTTTTAGCTGGACAGCTGTAAACTTTTCAGCTCCATGTTGATCCCCCTCACCCCCGCCATGCTGTGTGGCATGCGATTATCTTAGTTCCCTCACCAGGGATCAAACTTATGCCCCCTGCAGTGGAAGTGCAGAGTCCTAACCACTGGGAATTCCCATGTTGATTTTTAAGGTGCAGGTTTAAATCTGTTATTAAGACCGAACTGCTGTAGTACAGTCGGCATGCCTTTCATTTGATTTTGAAGTAATGTTAATTAATTTGTTGACTGAGACTAGGGTCAAAAACATCCCAGTAAATCCAAGGGAATGATAACTGATGTCATGTCAGACTGGTAAACGCCATTTAAACAAAAGCTGGTTTATGAATATTGCTTGTGGATTTTCTATGTGAAGATTGCTTCCTCCTCTTCTGCTTACCGTCGGGTTTTATTTGAATTGGGTCTTTACTTCTGGTGTAACGTGTCTGCTTATGCATTTCAGAATGTCTTAAAATTTAACTCTTGCAGGGCTGAGCTTTTGAAACCCTCCAGCCATGACTAAAAGAGAAGCGGAGGAGCTGATAGAAATCGAGATCGATGGAACAGAGAAGCCGGAGTGCACTGAGGAGAGGTGGGTGGTTTTTAATTCGCTGCTTTTTGTTATCAGCAGGCCTAGGTAAAAATAAGAATCTCGCCAGGCTCTTTGGGGACCTTCCCCACCCCACCCCCCGCCCTGCCAGCTGACCTCAGCAGTTGAGGGATAACGTATTGCCTTTTTCCTCTGACTTAATGGCTTTGTAGCTGGGAGGAAAAGAGAGTTTTAAACTAAAGATGGTAGTAAGCATAGCTAATAATGGTCAAGCCATTGATTGTGGTGGTTTCTACCCTTCAGGCACTGTTGGATTCTTTTTTGTTTTGTCAGTGCTGATTTCTTTTATTTCAGTAAGAGTTTAAGTCACAGCCTGAACTAGTTCAGCAAATAGTGGCTATCAGGAGTACATCAATAAATGAGACTCTAACCTGCCGTGGTAGAGACTGCCTTATATTTGAAGAAACACACAAGCTGTATGAGCCATCATCAGTCAGCCAGCCACTCAGTCGGGTCCGAGTCTTTGCAACTTCATGGACTGCAGCACGCCAGGCTCCCTGTCCATCACCAGCTCCCAGAGCTTGCTCAGACTCATGTCCATCGAGTCAGTGATGCCACCCAGCCGTCTCGTCCTCTGTTGTCCCCTTCTCCTCCCATCTTCATTCTTTGCCAGCATCAGGGTCTTTCAGTGAGTCAGCTCTTCGCATGAGGTGGCCAAAGTATTGGAGCTTCAGCTTCAGCATCAGTCCTTCCAATGAATATTCAGGACTGATATCCTTTAGGATTGACTGGTTTGCTCTCCTTGCAGTCCTTGGACTGCAAGACTCTGAAGAGTCTTCACCAGCACTACAGTTCAAAACCATCAGCTTTTCAGCGCTCAGCTTTCACATGCATACCTGACTACTGGAAAAACCATAGCTTTGACTAGACGAGCCTTTGTCGGCAAAGTAATGTCTCTGTTTTTTAATATGCTGTCTAGGTTGGTCATGAGCCATCATTGTGCTAAGCATATAGAGAAGTGAAAGGTGTTAGTTTTTGGAATAGTAATAGAATACTGCTTACTCCATTAAGGAAGGCGGGCAGTGGTAATGAGTTCAGGATCCAAGGAGAGGATGTGAGTGAAAAGAGGGATTGGGGAGTCAAGAAGGACAGGGAAGGTAATGACTAATGGTCCTAGTTTACTCTGGAAAGCAGGAGCTGAGATAATGTACAGAAAGTAAGAGGGGCTGAAGAGTGGTAGAAAACTTCGAACAGAGGTTTAGAAGAACTCCAGTGGGAATGGACAGATTACTAAGGTTGAGTAGCTTGCTGAATGTTGAGCGTGCAGCTGAGATGAAAGACCTGAAATTGTTTAAAAATTGTATTTTACTGTGGTAAGAACATTTAACACAGTATCTACCCTCAGTAAATTTTTAAGTATACCATACAGTATTGTCAGCTGTAAGCACAATGTTGTGCAATAGATCTTTTGCAACTTTTTTGTCTTGCGTAATTGAGATTGTGTGCCAGTTAATTAGCAACTCTTCTGCCCTGAGGCCATGATTACTCATGAAGCCATGGTTACTCAGGCTACCTCTTCTGCTCAGGCAGATGTTTTGCTCTAGCTCAAAATACAAACTTTCTTTTAGTGTCCCCCGCCCTGTCCTCTCCCACCATGCCTTGGCATGGAAACATTTTCTTGGCCACAAAGGTCTAAAATACCTTGGCATGACTGCACAGGAGGCATTAAGTTTTGAATGGAGCTTTTCTGTATGTTTGATTATGCTATTTTCTCCAGCAGAAGAAACAATAGGCTACTTGCCTCACTTATTTTCATATATATACATATGTATGTGTGTATATACGTATATACATACACTTATGTATGTAGCACGTTATTCCAAAACTTTGCAGCTTAAAACATCCAACAGTTACTCTTGCACAGTTTCTGAGTCAGGAGCCTCTCATGCAGTCAGTTAGCTGCTTGGTTCTGGCTCAGAGACTCTCAAGAGCTTGCAGTTAGGCTGTCTGTCTGGGCTACAGTCCTCTGAAGAGTTGGCTGAGGCTAGCATATCTGTTTCTAAAATCACTCATAAGACTGGTGACAGGACCACTCACTTCCTCAGCACGTGGGCTTCTGTGTAGGGCTGCTCACCACAGGCGGCTGGCTTTCCCTAGAGCACATGGTCCAAGGGAGCATTCGCCATGGCGTCTTTTTAAACGAGCTAATCTTAGAAGCAGTACTTGTATCACTCTGCCTTAGTCGTTTGGTCACATAGTCCAGCCTTGGGACAGTTTGGGAGGGAACTGTAAAAAGATGTAAATATTAGAAGGTGAGGATCGTTTGAGCTGTCTTGAAGCCTGACATGAATATATTTATGTTTTTGTATACACATATATGTATAAATGATCCACAGAGTGTAAAGTTTTTACTGTTTGACTTGGTAGAGAAGACCTTCGTTGATGTCTCATGTAAGAGGTTGGTAGTTACTGTGATTTAGTTACTGTTGACCTGGGGAGTAGCTATGTGAAGTGGGCAGTTACAGCTGTCTAGTTGTAGCAGAGTGCTATGCAGGAATGTAGGTCCAGTGATGTGAGATCATCTACATTTTCTCAAGGGAAATTGGTAATCAGATTTTTTTATATGGATCTCCCAAGGTTTAAATGATGGCAACAGAATATTTAAAAATGTTTTAAATGTTGAGCTTATGTAAAATGGGTCCTTAAAAATAAAAAGTGACATCTGACTCTTGTAAAGAGTATTGTTACCAAAAAAAGAAACATATAGCCCACTGTGCTATAGCTGAAGAATTTGTAAAAATATTTACATAGCCAAAAGACCCAATTAATTTGCCTTAACAAATAGTAGTAATAATAAAATGTTTATTATTTTAAAATAAATTTTTTTTTCAGTCATGAGTGGTCTCTTATAAATTTTAAGTTTTAGGAATTTAGGCTACATATATTCACTGAATGTCATGTATTTATTGAATTTTACTTGGAATTTATGTGAAAATGTAACGACATTTTTAAGTACACACTGTTTTTGACTACTGTGAGATTTAAACCATATTTAAATTAAGCATATGAAACTTGATTGAATTGGAGATTTACCAATTCAGCAAATACTTATTGGTGTCTACTTTCCATTTGGCCTCAAGTAAGGATTCACAAAAGATACTTGGAATTACCAAAGATTTTACTCTTATAGAACTTATGGGGTTTTTTAGAACTTAGAATATGAAATAAAAATGCAAAAGAGCACGTGGAGAGTTTTAAAGGAAGAATATAATTTTTTAAGGTGAATCTAAACTGATGATAACCAGTAGTTTTCAGATTAGATTAGATGGAAAATATTTTATATAACCTGTATTTTCATGTCTTATAACTTGTATTATTGTATTGATTTGGGGAAATAGAGACAGCATACAAGTTTTGAGGAGACTTTATATTCCTTTCTGAAGGAATTCCTTTTTTATATTTCCTTCCTAAAATTCTTCAAAATAACTTGGAAATATAAATGCAGACATTTCCCCTTAAATATTGTAGTGTAAGCAATACTAGTATGCATATACACACACGTCCATATGTGTGCGTGTGTGTGTGTATGATGTGGTATATTTGCAAAGGTGCCTTAAATTTCAGACTTGCATTTCTTTGTGTAATGTGATTTGTTATTAACTTTGGCAACACTGTTTGATGATGAGGCTACCACTATGAAAGGTGTCTGTGCAGAAATGAGTTTCAACCAGAAATGTGTTTTGGAATTGAATTTTGTTTTGAACATATTGTTGGGTTAATATCCAGGGTAAGAAGGTAATTGTTAACCACTACATTCTCTAACTTTGGGTCCTTTGACATTATATTCTTCAGCATTGTAGAACAGACCTACACTCCAGCTGAATGTGTAAGCCAGGCCATAGACATCAATGAGCCAATAGGCAATTTAAAGAAACTACTAGAACCAAGACTGCAGTGTTCTCTGGATGCTCACGAAATTTGCCTGCAGGATATCCAGGTATTATGTTTTTTCTTTTTTGAGATTTGTATTTCAGCATTTATGTCTGCATTAGAAATGGCTTTGTTGTTATTGTTGGCCTTTTCTAACTATAGCCTTTATCTCCCCTTTATCTCCATTTGACCTATATTTTTATAAAATGTAAGCATTTAGAAATAAGAGTTCTTTCAGAAATATTTGTTCCACTTAGAATTATTTTTAAAAGATTAATAAATCAAACTTTGCTTTTTCACCTGGACAAATGCAAAATGAGAGGTTGAAATCCAGTTTAATCAGAGCTTAAACATAGTGAGAAGCACATTGACCTTGAAAGTTGAAGAACTGTGCCCTCACGTCCTGTTTCTTACTAACTTTTAACTTGTTTGTACATCAGTTTCCTCCTCTTTTAGATTTTTAACCAAATGATTTTATATTCACTTCCATCTTTGTTTGCTCCAACAGTAAATTTTGGATAAACATTTAAATACCACTATGTGTATATTTCTTGGAGATTGTTGCAATAGGAGTTTACCTGTGGTAATATACTAATAATATATTGTGTTTGCAGCATATTTATAGTCATGTTTTATGGTATTCTTTCAAGAAAGGGAGTATTTTTATGTATAAAAAGTAGTTGCCTATATAGGGTTGCTCAAATAGTTCCTTCGGACCTTTCTTGAACATATGAATAAGTACTAGGGATTTATTCTGTTTTTTTAATGCTATCTTACGTATATCATGTCATCTTTTCGAATGTTTGGTTTGGTTTATTCTTCACTCCTCCCCCCTCTGCCTTGTAATGTAGCTATTCCACAAATCAGAACTTCTGCCTCAGTTTTTTAAAAATTCAAATCATGTCTCCTCTATTTTTAAATAAGATACTGATGTAGAATAAGTTGAAATGTTTTAATGAAATTTGTGAATTTTAGTTGCCATCTAACTATACTTTTTTTTCCTGGTAAGTCTAATGAATACTAGGGGAGGAAGGAAGTTGATCTTATAAAGAGAATATATATAAGTCTAATAATATTGGGATTTAAGGTTTTTCTTCTCTTGGCTATGAATTAACATAATTCATAACATAATTAATAGGGGTGAATTAACATAATCTTTTTGGAAGGTAACTTAGTATTTAGTGTCTTAATGTTGAATGTGACATATTTAGCAGCTTTCCTCAAGAGATTTTCTTAAGCGCTCCCCTCAGTGAGCAAAGGCATACATTGCATAGTTGTGCAGAAACTAAAAATGTCTCAAATGATCCAATAATAGGAAATCAGATAAATAAATTCTGTTGATTAGAATTCAAGGCAGCCATTAAAAATAACTGAACCTGGGCTTCCCTGGTGGTCCAGTGGTTAAGACTCCACACTTCCACTGTAGGGGGCGAGGGTTTGATCCCTGGTCAGGGAAGTTCTGCATGCTGTGAGGTGCCGCCAAAAAATAAATTGGTGAACTAGAGTTATATGGGCAGTTTAGATTGAATGAAAAAATATTAGCAAGACATTTCTAAATTATCTCATTCTTCACAGCAGTCTTTGAAGTTGGCATATTTTAAATCATAATCTGCAGATGTAGCAATTGTGATTTAAAAGAAATTAAATAATTTGCCCAGTGTATTGGGGTGCCTTGGAATTTGAACTGAGGCCTATGTAACTGTAGAACTCTCTTCACTTGTTCGAGGCTGACTTTTTAGGAAAGTTTTCCTTGCATAATTCAGTGTCACTGGGCTTACCTTGTTTTTTCTTATGTGTAAAATTAAGGGGAATTTGGACTCAATGTCTTAGTTGTCTTTTAGCTCTGACATTTGTTGCTGCTCTTATAATATCTGACCTAACTAAAATGAAAGTATCACCTGCAAAGTAGCCAGCCTATCATAAGATCTCAATAAATATTGGTTGAAGGGATCAAACCTGGACCATAGCAGTGACAGAGCTAAATGCTAACCACTAGGACCCCAGGGAATTATGCTGGAGAAGATTCTTGAGAATCCCTTGGAATGCAAGAAAATCAAACCAGTCAATCCTAAAGGAAACCAACCCTGAATATTCATTGGAAGGATTGACACTGAAGCTAAAGCTCTTAATACTTTGGCCACCTGATGCAAAGAGCTGATTCACTGGAAATACCTTGATGCTGGGAAAGATTGAAGGCAGGAAAAGAAGAGGGTGACAGAGGATGATGGTTGGATGGCATCATCAGCTCAATGGACATGAGTTTGAGCAAACTCTGGGAGATCGTGAAGGACCAGGAACCCTGGCGTGCTGCAATCCACAGGGTAACAAAGAGTCGGACAGGGCTGAGCGCCTGAATAACAGTGCACCAGGCCTTGCCTCCCATGTCCTCAGCCTGCCTTTTGTCTGGAAAAAAACTTTAGCCAAAGAATAAGTTTAATCAGAGAAGGAGAAAATGCAGAGACCAAGGAAAATAAAAATAATAACAAAACAAAAATAATTTAGTCATTAAGCAAAGTCAGGGACCTTTAGTTCTTTCTCAAGGGTTATCATATCCTGTGAGCTGTCTTATAGATACTAAAACCCCCACCAGGTGGAAGAAGTTTAACTGTATGATGACCAGACTGATGACCAGACTGTAGCCATAACATAAGCTGCCACAATTCCAAGAATTGGCTTTAAGAAAATGGGAACAGACTGACTTGGAACTAAGATTAGCTGTACTTAAAATAACCAAGATGACACTGGTCACACCACCAATGACCAATTTCAAGATGACTGTCAGAGCTGACTGTACTGTTTCTGCACATAGCCGTCCTTCCATCTGTAAATGCTCTTGCCCACGATTGTCAGTGGAGGGGAGTCGGCCTTTGGATAGGACTCTGCTCCCCGCCAATTGCCAGCATCCCAAATAAAGCAAACTTTCCTTACCACCAATAAATAAATGAATATTGGTTGAATAAATGGGAATATGCATAATTTATAGTATTGTAGAATTCAGAACTAGCTTTGAATCTAGGGCATTTTTCATTTCTTCCTGTCTCCCTCCCTCTCTTCAAAAAGAATATGAGGATAGCAACTTCTGTTTTCCATGTCATTTAAAACAAATATATAGTTGGAGTCAGAAGGCTTGCCACTTGTGTAATACAAATGCAGATGCTTTTATATTTTCAGATGAGTGCTGACTTTAAAGCTGATGAACGGCAATTGCGTTGCGCTTCTCTAAGGAATATGACCCAAGATCAAAATACCATGCTTGAGTTCTGTCCTTGAGCCAGCTCTTACTGAATGCGCTAGCGTGCTCAGTACCTGAGGGCCCTGTTTCAGAGCTGCACAGGCTTTAGCTTCTAGTAGATAATGCCATTACCAGCGTCTACTAGAGAGGGCAGAAATCTCAGTGTTAGGAGAATTTTTAGCAAAAATGCCATACGGAGTCTGTTGTATCAAGGAGTGAAGCTGCCCTGTTTGACCTGTCTGTCTGCAGGGTTACACAGTTTGCCTTATCTCTATTTAAGTTAGATGCAGCCACTTAAGATTTTAGATTTCATGTGTATGGCATTTCTCATTTTAGAAAATACATTTGTACCATGATTCCCATATTGGCTAAATTCTAGGAATAAGAGTGGGAGGACTTGGTATCTCCCGCTGTATGTACACACAGAAATATACCTTATTCAAAATAATTTAACAGAAACATGTTTTTAAACTTGATAAAATGTCCAGAAGTCAGAAGTTCTTTTTGCCGTTTGTGTGAAATGCACTCAAAAGCACTGATACTGAAAGATGCTGAAAGGATATAGAACTATGACTAAAGATATTCATAGCTAGGTCAGGTAGTATGATTATAAGTCCTTTAACTTTGTTAACTTCATGATAAGAAATTAAATTAACCCTGATCTTACATGTGTATCCTTGGTTATTAAGATATTTGGCAAGAAGTATATAAATTGTATAAATTGTCCCTGCTAATAAAAAAACCCTTGCTTATTCATGGCAGGTAGCTTGCATTATCTTCTACCAGAAATACTTTTGCAGAAATAATAGTTGCCTTTTGGCATTATTTAAAATTCTAAACTAGACTCCAGAGCTAGAGAAAATCACTATTTAAAACAAGTCCTGTCTGTGTTGTCCTTAATTGCTACCACAGTGGTGAAATCCTTCTCAGTTTTGGCAAAGAATTAAATGATATGACAACTTGAATAATTAAATGTGTTCTTGTAATTTAATTAGTATACCTCAGTAATAAGTCCTGTTTGGCACATCCCCTTATATTAAACCAGATGACTGAGCTAAAATAATCTTAATCCTTTCACCCATGTTTAGCTGGATCCTGAACGAAGTTTATTTGACCAAGGAGTAAAGACAGATGGAACTGTACAGCTTAGTGTACAGGTAATTTCTTACCAAGGTAAGTTAATTTTAGTGTTGTCATCTAAAATTTAACTCGTGTTTTTCTAATATGGGAACTCAGTTTTATAAGTTTTAGATGATTGTCTAAGTTAGTTAATGTGATGTTATAGTTAAATGTTTGTGCTTTTGGTTTCATTATTTTATCTGTCAGGACGAAGCAAATGGTCTAACACATTCTGCCTACTTTAATCGGGAAAGGATATATTATAGTAAATAACAGAATCCCAGGGAGGGCTGGAAGAACATGTGCTAGTTGACTTTCTAAAAATGCCTCAGCCACACTGCAGAACTGAACTGCCAAGGAAGCTGCTACTCTGCTGGGATCTGCAAAATGCCAGATCTGAAAGCCATCACTATAGCGTTGACTTGGAACTCTGCTCCCTTTTCAGTGATCTGGATGGATTGCTTGTCCCCTCTTAACTCATTTCCAAGTAGAACGCTCTTGCCAGTAATCCTAGAACCTAAGTTATGTCTGTATTCCTGCAAGGAAATCTAGTCTCTGCAGGTTAGCACGCAGAGAGAAATTTGCACAGGCTGTGGGGTGACCCAGCCAGCTGCATCCACCACAGGAGTTTACTGATCTGTGCAAATACACAAGTCAGAAAATGCGGAAACCATTTTTGGTAGATCGAATTTTAGTTTTTTAAATGGGCTTGTTGGGATTTCTAACCAGAGTTTTAGACTAATTTTAATCTCTGAACATACTTGTTGCTGGTCAGCCGCTTAGTCATGTCTGACTCTTTGCAGCCCCGTGGACTGCAGCATGCCAGGCTGCTCTGTCCTCCACTGTCTCCTGGAGTTTGCTCACATTCATGTCCATTGAGTTAGTGATGCTGTGTGACCAGCGCATCCTCTGCTGCCCCCTTCTCTTTTTGCCTTCTGTCTTTCCCAGTGTCAGTCTTTTCCAGTGAATCAGGTGGAACACATTATATTGCTTACAATTATGTTTCACAAATCAAAGTTTTTTCCACATTATGAAAGTGCTAATACCTACTTATGATCCTTAATTTCCCCAGAATTCTCCTATTGTTGGAAACAGGAAAGAAAAATCAGTCTTTGTTTTTTATCTTTAAAAGCCTAGTGACCTCTCAGTGCAAGTGTGTTTAAGAAGAGTTGACTTGATGAAATTTGATGGGGGATTAGCAAATAATTTCTAGGAAAATTTTTTTTCAAAAATTGCGATCTTTTTTTCTCATGAACATTTGAAAAATGTTCTGTTTATACCACCTAATGAGTGAAAGCAGTATATTTTTCTGTAATACAGCTTTTGAGTTTGAACTTCACAATAATGAAATTTTTATTTTTTCTTTCAAGTACACTTTGATTAAATTTTGATGTAGATTGTAACTAAATCAGTGAGCAAACGGTAGCCATTCAGTTGTATGATAGTTTCTTAGAACTGTCATTTTACCATAAGTAACTATGATTATTTCATAAAGGGCTAGTTTTACAATATGTACTTTAATTAGCTTAGAAAGACTTTTTAAACTTCTAAAGATGAGTAGCTACTCATTTATACTCTCCCTAGTGTAGTTTTAATTTCCTATTACATGTTGGTTCTTTTTCTCTGTCTGTAGGTAAGGTGTCTGTATGCGTGGTGGTGGTGGTCTTAAATTATTTTAGATTTATAGAAAAATTGCAAGTGTAGTAAAAGAATTCCTGGATATCCTTCACCCAGATTCCCCAAATGTTAACTTTTATTATCACATTGCTTTATTCTGTCTCTTCCTCATCCCCACATTATTTTTTTGACTTGGTTAAGAGTAAGATGCAGACATAATTTTTTTTCTGTCTCTAAATACATTAGTGTGTGTGTTTTCCAAAACAAAGAATTCTTTTGCATGACCACAGTTATCAAAATCAGGAAATTAATACTGATGCAATACTGTTCTATGATCTGCCAGACTTCTGTTGAATTGTTGTTTTTGTCATTTAGTAGAAATCTTTTCAAGTTCTCTAGACATAATGCTAAAAATATTTAACATGGAGTTCTGCTCTACAATTTGAGAACATATAAACTAAACTAAATTTTGCTGTGTTAGTTTTGTGTTTTTGCTTAGATATACTTTTTTTTTTTTTAATCATTGTTAAGGAATTGAACCAAAGCTAAATATCCTGGAAATTGTTAAACCTGCGGAAACGGTTGAAGTAGTTATTGATCCAGATGCTCACCATGCAGAAGCAGAAGCACATCTTGTTGAGGAAGCTCAAGTGATAACTCTTGATGGGACAAAACACATTACAGCCATTTCAGATGAAACGTCAGAACAAGTGACCAGATGGGCGGCTGCGCTGGAAGGTTACAGGAAAGAGCAAGAGCGTCTTGGGATACCCTATGGTAAAAAATACATAATGGTTATGTTAGGTAGAATAATATTTAGGCTTGACATAGAAGACAGTATGGTGAATAAGTGATCCATTTTAAATATAGAGCTTTTAGGAAATAGATTTTCTATGGATCTTTTTTTTTTTTTTGGACTGTTAATACATGATGGTGCTGGGAATACAATGATAAACTTTTTTTTTTAATCCTGCCCTTAGGGCATTCATAATTTAGTTAAAGAGAGAAACAATAAATGAAAAGAAGTAGTTTCCATAAAGGTGACATGTTTTTAAGTTGTCAATAACTAGTATAGAAGAAACATACTACTAGAATCTCAAAGGGTTCATAGTGATCTGGGGGAATATTGGGAAAGAGTTTATTGTAGGCAAGGAAACTTCTGGACATTCCAGACAGGAAGTATTTCTGCAAAGCTGAGAGGTGGGAGTGTGCTGAGTAGTGAGAAGATACAGTGGGTGAGGAATTATTCTGTAGCATTGTAGAATTGATTTTGATTGATGCGGGTGACAATTGAAAATGGACGTGGCAGTGGAATGTTATGTAAGTTGGAGTGGGTAGTTTCCATGTGTCGAGGTTAACATTTAGGTTAGCCTAGACCAGGTGATTTCTGTGGGAGCAGAAAGAAGGAGATGAATCAAAATAGTGATAGGACTGATCAGCTGGTTGATAGATTGCATGAGGATAGAGAGGGAAGAGTCGAATATTTATCTAACTTCTCAAGCTTGGGTGACTAGGCAATAATAATATTGATGAGAATTGGTTACATCTTCATATTTCCTGAGCTAGGCACCATGGTAAATGCTGGGCTTTCAGTGGTGCATAGGAAAGACAGTCCATGCCTTCTAAATCTTTGTGGGGAAGGTAGGAAAGTCTGGTATTGGAAAGATTTTTCAAGGGAATGTGTTGATAGTGCTTGATTTTCAAGAGTACATATTCAATTGAGGGTCACCAGAAAGTAGTTTCAGGAGCACAAGATTTGGACTGGAGATAAAGATGTTATCTGGGACAAAGTCACATTGAGTTTGTATTAAAATCATAAAAGTAGGTGTCATCTCTGGTGGAGAGAAAGAAAATGAATGATAACACAATGCTGAACCTTGTCAACATTTAGGGTTGAGTAACAGGAAGTTGGAGAGACATAAAATAGCTTACCAGATAGAAGAAAAATAAGAACTGTGCATATATAGTGCCACTGAAATTGAGAAGGAGTTTTAGATGGTCAAAGTCTTGATGCTGCTGAGAAAGTCAAAGAATGCTGGCCAAATAGTATCTACTAAATTTGGTCATCAGGGGCTCATTGGTGGATTTCAATACAAAAGAACCATTGGAGACACAAAACTGAATTATAAGAAATAAACATTGCAGAAATGGAAAAAACTGAATATTAACTTGGTGAGGGGGCATTTCCTACAAGGTAATCATGTATTTTATTCTTCCATTTGGCTCACTGGAGAGCAGTTGTGCATTTTGTTTTTTCTTAATAAAATTCTAAACTAATTGATGTAGAAACAAGTGAACCCATCAAATTTTAGATTAAAGAGTCAAAAAGGAGCTAAGAAGAAAGTGGAGTGTAAGCATCTTTTTATTTTATATAATGAGTTCACTTACTTGGGGGGAAAAAACCTGTCTGGATTTTATCTGTGTGTTTTTGTGTGTATGTTGACAAGTTAACTGTAAATTATGAACTATCTAAGATTCAGCTAAGCTAGTGGTAATATTTTTGTCTTTAGATCCCATACAATGGTCCACAGACCAAGTCCTGCATTGGGTGGTTTGGGTAATGAAGGAATTCAGCATGACTGATATAGACCTCACTACACTGAATATTTCTGGAAGAGAACTCTGTAGCCTCAGCCAAGAAGATTTTTTTCAGCGAGTTCCTCGGGGAGAAATTCTCTGGAGTCATCTGGAACTTCTTCGAAAATGTATAAAATTGAAACTGTTATCTTATTTGCATTATAACTTAAGTTTAATTTTATTTCTTTATAACTTTGTTTTCGTCTTAATTGTTCATTGCTAATAGCAGTAATAATTAACACTTACTGTGTAAGGCTGTGATGTGCTGAGAACTTTATATGTATCATCTCATTTAATCTTGTACTAAAGCCAGAGATCATTGCTTTTCTTATTTCTTCAGATAGGAATCTGAGGCTGAGAGAGCCCCCACAAGATTATAGAACTAGGGTGTGGCTGAACCAGGATCCAAACCCAGGCAGACTAAACTAGACTCCAAGTTCTATTCTATCCAAGTAAGATTCTGTGCCTTGCAGTTAGCTCTGTTCATATATTCTAGTTGTTGGCTTCTGGTTCATCAGTCAGTTCTTTCACTGATGCTCATCTTTTAGAAATTTACGATGATTTGTTCACAGATGGCTTCTCTCTCATTCTGTTCATTATGGGGATTAAATCTTTTAAAATGTCTTTTAATTGAATGGGATTTTAAGGGAGAAAGGAGTAAAGTATGCAACCCACCATCTTGAATTGGAAGCCACTGGTTACAGTGTTTCCATGTTGCTCAAAGAATGCTGGCTGAGTAGTAAGGCTTTCCTTCATTGTTTTATTGGCAGTCTCTCTCCTGTGTTGGTTATCTTAAATATTAGGAGGAACAGTATTGAAAAGGCTTAGTAGATTCATTACATTTACAAGGTTTATTTCTAGTTTCAGTTCCTATTAGATAAATAAGTTGAATATTCTAGTTGAAATTTTATCCTTGGCATCGCAGGTTTTCTTCTCCATAGAGATTTTTAGATGAGTAAGGTAAATTCTGAAATATTTCAGGTTTTTAACTTGTGAGTCATGTTTACAGAAACATTTTCTTGTAGGAACTCTCAAGAATATAGAACAAGGACAGTGTTTATTTAGACTGCAGTTTGGTTTTTCTCAAGTTCATGATTTTTGCTGTTTATCCCAGATCAGCACTTTGTTGTTTCTCTCTGGCTCTCCTAGGGCTTCTCAAATGTTAAAGCTCACTCAGGCTTTTCCCAGGACAGGGGGCTGTGAGGAAACCTTATGTATCTTTCCATCTTCCTGCAATAGAATGGGTCTTCTAGGAAGAGCTGTGCTTTGGGATTGTTTTGTTTACGAAAGTAACAAAGCCCCATGGCCTACACGAATATCTTAAGGAATTCCTTGCTTATTTGGCCATGATTCTTTGCTCTGCCTGGCAAGAAAATCCCACTGGGTTTGGAAATCTAATTCTCAGAATCTGGGAATGGGTAGGATGATGTGTAAGGCTATGTCTGGTCAACTTTCTATAGTGCACAAGCCTAACTTCTCAGAACAGACTCGTTGGGGCACAGTCTAGCTCTTTGGCCCCTCTCGTAGAGTGAAGTCTATAGCATGTCCTTATTAACCTAGCATTTATTATCTGTTCCTCAGTGATTTATCAAGGAGAAACAGTACTGAACAGATAGACCTCCTCCTTTAAGTATTTGTGTTAGTTTGCCCACCCGAGCCACCAGCTTCCTACAGTTTCCCGTCTAGTGAAAATTTATCCAAGTCCCACCGTACGTGGGGAGGATAATTAGGAAATGTTCCCGGAGTCCCAGCTCTCTCTGATGTCCTTCTTGGTGTGAATGTGTCTTCTGTGGCCAGAGGCACAAAGCTCGGTTTGCTGCGTTTTCTTTGGGACAAAGGATAGCCTGTATTACTTCAGTGTTCAGAGTTTTCATAAAATCGCTCCATACACCCTAGAGCTTTTCACCTTAGGGCTCTGCTTCCTTTATGCAGGACCAGGGTTTGAGGGCTGGAGAAGGAATTTAATATTTAGAGTGTCTGTGTGGTCTTGGACCAGCCTTTCAAAAGCCCCCCTGTTTCTGTGTTCCGTCTTCTGTTAATATCTTGAGTTCCCAGGAAACAAACCAAACTCCAGTCCAGAAATCAGGGCTGAGCGGCTGATCTTACAGGTTGGCACTGCCTGTGCCTGTGTAGTGGTGACTCTTCTTTGCCTCTTTAAGCTAGGGTACTGTGTTCAGTCGCAGTCAAGAGTTGAACAGTTTCATTTCAATAGCACTTTGCCCTTTCAAGGTACTTTTATAAAATTGCGGGGCCGGGGGGGGGGGGGATATGCCACAAATATAAAGCATGAATTTTTCTTCAGGACAGTTGTCCTTGAGGAGAATGCTCAGAACTATGAATCTGGATAGAAGAATAGTGTCTTCTTCTAGAAGGTATCTAGAAGGGTATCTCCTTTATAATTTACTATTGTCATACAGCCAATAAGTTAGTGCTAAGACCAGAACCCAGATCTGAGGCTAGTCTCATATAATTGTTTACATTCCCAAACTCGGGACCCCCAAAGAAAGCTCCCACCTGACAAGTAGGAGTCGGGTCTCTCTTTAGTTTCCCGGTCCTCTTCAGCTCTGTGTCTGGCGTTGGAGCCTGGTGTGGTGTTCTAAGTAGAACTGTGTTAGGAGCCCAGGCCCCAGGACTCAGCTCCATACCCAGATGACTGCTGTGTACAACTTCAATTAGAGAGAGAAGCATCCAAGTCTGTGATGGGCACTGAAAAGGCTGAAGGGATATAGACTGGCAAGTGTAACTCTTTATCTGAGAGGTGAAGAATAACATTTGAGTAGGAAATAGCAACAGATGAGTAATGAATGGTCCTCCAAATGGTTATATTAGGACCTTTTACACTGTAACTCATGGGGATTTTTTTTGTTTGGGGGTTTTTTTTGGCTGCACTGCTCAGCTTGTGGGATCTAAGTTCCCCATCCAGAGATTGAACCTGGGCCCTTGTCAGTGAGGGAGTGAAGTCCTAACCACTGGGTGACCACTAGGGAGTTCCCTTCACTGTAACTCATTTGAGACAGACCTGTATTTATAGATGTGTTAAATTACTTAGTTCATTTGTGACACAGAGAACAGCTGTAATTCCACTGAAAATTTGGCTATCTTCAGAAGAAGTATTCTAAAATTAAAGCAGTTTTTTTTTAATGGGTATTTGATCATCCATACACCAAATTATGATGATCTCTCCAGTCATCTTGAAAGAGCCTTTTTTGATGAAGAAAATGTATCTAAATAATTTCACTGTGGTGATCTGATCTTGAATATTTCCTGTTTTATATAAAGCCTAGATAAATAGATTTATAATAGACATTTTCAAACCCTGGTTCTTTGAACAACTTTTCTGAACATTGAATTGGAGCTTGCTTTCTGTTGCTTCTCTTAAAAATATCCATCTAAAATGACTGTGAAGTATTTTTTAGGTTCTTAGGTCAATAAGTTTCAATTATTTGATGTTTTGCTTTTTTGTTTGCTTGGTTTTTGTTTAATCGTGGATGGTGGGGTTTTTTTGGTTTTTTGTTTTTTAATTTTACTGGATTGGAGTTTGCATTTGTGGTTTAAATGAAAACAAAAAATTTTTATGTGTGTTCTTCAGATGTATTGGCAAGCCAAGAACAACAGATGAATGAGATAGTTACAATTGATCAACGTGAGTATTCATGTGCCCATAATGTAGGTCTGATTTATCAATAAAAAATGTTCCATTTAGTACTGCAAGGTAGTAAAAATGAAAAGCTAATTTGTAAATTTTGTATGAAGCATTTTAGATATACAAAGACATAAATAAAGTATAACCAACATCTGCATACACCATAAGAGATAAAAGTTTATATGTTAAGTTTACCTGTTATAGATCCCATTTTAAATGACTGTCCTGAACCTGAGGTTTCTTATTCTATGAATATTTTATATTTTTATGAACTTTTGTAACCATAAACACTTTAGGACATTATTTTATATATGTATAAACTTTTGGGTAAAGATGGTGATATACTGTGTCTATCCTTTTATAGCTTGCTTTTTTGATTTATATTTATGAGACCTATGTTGATATCTGTAGCTCGATTTTATTTTCACTTCTGTTTATCATTTTTAAAACTTTATGAACATCATTGAATGAATATCTGTAAGAATGTGTGTGAGATTCTCTGGTTGTGATTTCATGGGATTCTACCCTTTTGTCTTTACTGGATATTACTAAAGTTTTTCTCAAAATGGTGGTATGTTTATACTCCTGTCAACAGTGGAACGTGAATTCTCATTTGTCCACATTCTCCAAAATTTGATAAACCATCTCTTATGAACAAATATTTTTAAAAATAGATTTTTTGTAACTTTATCTACTGTATATGCATCAATAAGTTTTTCTAAAATAAGGAAACCAACTTTTATTCACTTAAGATTCATAGACAGTAATGCAGACGTTATACCTTATCTTCTGAACTTTTGTTGAGGTAATTAGAGAGGCATCAGTTAAACTAATTGCATTTTATTTTCTTTCAGTAGTTTTTTCCTCTATTTGTATTGGAAGGAGAAAAAAAAATTTTCCCCTTGTCTTGCTTTGCAGCTGTGCAAATTATTCCAGCATCAGTGCAGTCTGCTACACCAACTGCCATTAAAGCTATAAACAGTAGTACCAAGGCAGCTAAGGTACAGAGAGCTCCCAGGATTTCAGGAGAAGATAGGAGCTCGCCTGGAAACAGAACAGGTATTTTTGCATTATCATCTGACATTTATAAAATTTGTCAAATTATGTATATTTTGTTTTATTTCACTGTATGAAAATGTGGATATGAACTTTTTCTCTTCTGGGACTCCTGTGATTCGAATGTTGGGGCATTTAACATTGTCCCAGAGGTGTCTGAGGTTGTCCTCATTTCTTTTAATTCTTTTTTCTTTTTTCCTCTCTGCTTCATTTATTTCTGCCATTCTATCTTCTTCCTCACTTATCCTGTCTTCTGCCTCTGTTATTCTACTGTTGGTTCCCTCGAGAGTGTTTTTGATCTCATTTATTGCATTATTCATTATTGATTGACTCTTTTTTATTTCTTCTAGGTCCTTTTTAAACATTTCTTGCATCTTCTCAATCCTTGTCTCCAGGCTGTTTATCTGTAACTCCATTTTGTTTTCAAGATTTTGGATCATTTTTACTATCATTATTCTGAATTCTTTTTCAGGTAGACGCCTCCTCTTTGGTTTGGTTTGGTTTGGTGGGCATTTATCATGTTCCTTTAACTGTTGAGTATTTCTCTGCCTTTTCATCTTATTTAGATTGCTGTGTTTGGGGTGGCCTTGCTGTATTCTGGCAGTTTGTGGTTCCTCTTTATTGTGGAGGTTCCTCCCTGTGGGTGGGGTTAGACAAGTGGCTTGTCAAGGTTTCCTGGTTAGGAAAGCTTGTGTTGGTGTTCTGGTGGGTGGAGCTGAATTTCTTCTCTCTGTCGTGCAGTGAAGTGTCCAGTAGTGAGTTTTGAGATGTCTATGGGTTTGGTGTGACTTTGGGCAGCCTGTATGTTAAAGCTCAGGGCTATGTTCCTGTGTTGCTGAAGAGTTTGCATAGTATGTCTTGCTCTGGAACTTGTTGGCTCTTGGGTTGTGCTTGGTTTCAGTGTAGGTATGGAGGCTTTTGGATGAGCTCCTATCGCTTAATGTTCCCTGGAGTCAGGAGTTCTCTGGTGTTCTCAGGTTTTGGACTCAAGCCTCCTGCCTCAGGCTTTCAGTCTTATTCTCACAGGAGCCTCAGGACTTCTCCATCCATACAACACTGATGATAAAACATCTAGGTTAATGATGAGAAGTTTCTCCACAGTGAGGGACACCCAGAGAGGTTCAGAGTTACATGGAGAAGAGAAGAGGGGGGAGGGAGATAGAGGTTAACCAGGAGGAGAAAAGGGGGAATCAAAAGGAGAGAGACTGGTCCAGCCAGTGATCAGTTCCCTAAGTGTCCTCCACAGCCCAGAACACACAAAGAGATTCACAGAGTTGGGTAGAAAAGAGAAGGGGGAGGGAGGAGATAGAGGTGACCTGGGGGAGAAAAAGGGGAGTCAAAAGGGGGAGAGAGTAATCGAGCCAGTAATCACACTCCTAAGTAAAAATGGGTACTGAAGATTGGATTCTTAAAGGTACCAAATTAGTGACAACAAAAAGCAAAGATTAAAAATCTAGAGTAGAGGTATAGACTCAAAAATACAATATTAAAAAAGCAAAATCACAAAAATTATAAAAAATATATATGAAGTTTGCTTTAAAAATAGGGTCTTTTTTTTTCAAGGTAATAGTAGGTTATAAAAATGAAAACTAAAGGAGTAATAGAGAACTTAAAAATTAAAAAATTTTTTTTAATTTAAAAAATGATAATAGTAAAAATATATCCAGGAATTTCTCTGGAGCTGTTGCGGGCAGTGTGGGTCAGTTCAGTTTTAAGATAGTTCCTTGTTTCAGCTTATACGTCTCAAGGTCTATAGGCGCCTTCCAGTGTAGTCGGTGCTAACTACAGGGTTTTAATCTATTGCACCTGTCACTTCCAAAGCGGTTCCCTCTGTTTATTTTAGCTTCTTGTGTTGGTCTCTTCAGTGTCTAATTTCCGCCCTGACACAAGGGGGCGGAGATGGTCACTTACTTAGGCTCCCTTGGTGCTGTGGGGACGGAGGGGGCACTGCAAAGAACTCTCACTGGCCTGTGTGGACAGTGCTCGCAGTGTCTAGGCCACCCTGGGTTTGCCCCGCTCGCGGCTTGTGTGCTTTCCCCGTCCACGCTGCTCGGGCTGCAGGCTGCTCTGCCGGGAACTGTCTGAGGTGGGCCCTGGGTTGCAGGGCCCTTCCCAGGTCTAAGCCGCTCAGGGTCAGGGTCTCGGTACTCCACAAAGGCGCAGACTCGGTTGGTTCCCAGGTCCGAGCAGCTCAGGTGGCCAGGTGCTTGGCGAGCACGTTCTCCCCGGGTGGGAGCTGCGTCTTCTCGCCTCCCCGTCCCAGCCGCCCGGTTTCGCAGTCTCAGGTGTGCCGTGAGTCTCCTCTGCAGCTGATCTCTGGCTGCGACCCTCCCGGCGGATGTCAACCGGCCAGAATCCCAGGAAGTCTTGGTTAGCAACTGCGAGCCTGCTTACAGTTTGGGAGAGGATGCCGTCTCTGGGGCCGAGATTGCCCCATTCCGGTTCTGGCTGCCGCCCGCCTGCCTCCCTGCCTCCGGCGGGATGGGCCGGTCCACTGCCGGCTAGCTCTCCTCCGGTATTGCTCAGTCCTTTGTTCTGTGAGCGGGCGGCAGTGCCCTAGTTAGGGCTTAGTTAGGGCTTTTTGTGGGAAAGTTCTCTCTCTCTGGTTTTTTTTTTTTTTTTTTTTTTCCTCTCTCTCTCTGGCTGTCCCACAGTCTGGGTTGCTATCTCACGTTGGCTCCCTCAGATTGCCCTCAGGACATTCAGACCGGGTCCTTACCTTAAGCAATGCAGCCCACGCCTCCCTGTTCAGCCCCCCACTTGCTGGTGGCGGATGCCAGCGTCTGGGCTACTTTTTCCACTGGGAATTGCTGTTAGGCACGTAATCTGTGGGTTTTATTTATTTATTTATTTTTCCTCCCGGTTATGTCGCCCTCTGAGATTCCCAAACTCCCCACCGACCCGCGGGTGAGAGGGTTTCCTGGTGTTTGGAAACTTCTCTTTTAAGACTCCCTTCTTGGAATGGGTTTCTGTCCCTAACTCTTTTGTCTCTCTTTTTATCTTTTATATTTTGTCCTGCCTCCTTTCGAAGACAATGGGCTGCCTTTCTGGGTGCTGGATGTCCTCTGCCAGCGTTCAGAAGTTGTTTTGTGGCATTTTCTCAGCATTCAAATGTTCTTTCGATGAATTTTGGGGGGACAAAGTGGTCTCCCTGTCCTATTCCTCCGCCATCTGAGGACCACCCCCTGGACTTGTTCTCTGAAAATACTTAGCCAGCATTTGTAAAAAGAAGTTTATGTTTTTTGTGTGGCTGACGTATGAACCAAAGGACCTGTTTGTTGTCTTTTGCCCTCTGAAAATCCATAGCATTATGGTCAGTGCTTGTCATTCTTGTCAATTTCTAGGAAACAATGGCCAGATCCAACTGTGGCAGTTTTTGCTAGAACTTCTTACTGACAAGGATGCTCGAGACTGCATTTCTTGGGTTGGTGATGAAGGAGAATTTAAGCTAAATCAGCCCGAACTGGTTGCACAGAAATGGGGACAACGTAAAAACAAACCTACAATGAACTATGAGAAACTTAGTCGTGCATTAAGGTAAGCATTTTAAAACTTTCAATCAATAGTTTCTAAAAAATGGCTTATTTGTATAAACATTGTTATGTAATGATGTTAAAATACTTATGTTTTCCTTATATAAATAAAACTGAAAATGTTCACGTTTATGTTAAAAATTACTTCTTAAAAAGATTTTTAGTAGTAATTTGAGATATGTAGAATTTTTAAAACATGATTCTAGATTATTTGTTTTTATCTGATTAGAAACATACACCACTCTGTTTAAAACCAGCATATTTAATCTTTGAGGTTTCTGTTTTTTTTTTTAACAGAGATGCTGTCATTTGGTGTAGGTGCATTGAGGGTCAATAAATGCTAGTAAATATGTAGATATTGTCAATTTTTATAATTAGATGCAAAATGTTAACCCATCTCTCTGTTTTTCCTTCCCCCCAGTCAGCCTAAATCTGAATATTCAAACTTTTTCATTTCTCATAAATGATATGAAAGTTTTGATGTAATTACTGTCAGAATTTATGCTTAATACAGTGGTGGAAATTCAGTATGTGCACTTAAGTATCTGAGAAGTAGGACATGTAGGAATTATGTCTATTTTTTGGGAAGAGTGAATTTGATAAAGCAGTTTTGTGAATTTCACACAATATGATTTACCTCTCGTCATTAACACACACAACATTTCTGTCCCCTCATCCCAGTGTAATTATATAATTATGTGGAGTACGGGTTAAATCAGTATTCCTTGTTACAGGATCGTGGCATTCAAGTACTGTTTCCTAGTTTATCATGATAATTTTTCTTTTCCACAATGACAGTTTGTTTGCCTTAGCATATATAAGTAACTAAAATGCTTTATTTTCAGTGTACTTATTACTCACTGTCAAACACTTTGCTAACTGCCTAAAGATCCTTTCTGTATAATCAGAATTAAAACTGTTACTTTTGACAGTTGATGTGACTGTGTACACGCAAGTCCCCTCAAAATTACAGATAAATTATTAGAATTAATAGTTAAGATGTCTCTTGTCCACAGTTGGCCTAAGTTACAATGCAGTAGCTGCCTGAATAAGTGTTTTCATAGAACTTGACAAGTTGATTATAGAATTTATATATGACTGTAAAGAGGCGAGGGCAGGAAGGCCTGGTGTGCTGCAGTCCATGGGGTCGCAGAAAGACAGTGTGCCGTTTGCTTAGGGTAGACCAAAGACCCAAGATTAGAATTGGTGACCTGAATAGAACAAAAATATAGGAACATTTGATTTAAAGATGGCAGTAGGGATGGGACCTACATTTCAGTCAGTAGTGCTGGGACAATTGACTATCCATATTGACCCCCTTCCTGATAGCATACTGAAAGTCAATTCTATGTAACTTGTAGCTCTAACTTGTGAAAGTAAAATAGGGAAGCATCTAGAAATGCCTTCTTGACTTTAGTAGTTGAGAAGACATTAAATAGAACCAGAAGCACTAACCTAATGGAAACGATCAATAAATTGGACTGCATTTAAATTAAGAACTTCTGGCCATTAGAAGCTGTCAGGAGAGTGAAAGTCAAGCCACATATATCTGATGTAAGATCTTCCCTGGAATAATTAAAGAACTCTTACAGATCCATAGGAAATTAAGAAAAATTTAGAGATTAGCCAAATGGCCAATCAGTTTGCTGACAAAGGTCCATCTAGTCAAAGCTGTGGTTTTCTAGTAGTCTTGTATGGATGTGAGAATTGGACCATAAAGAAGGCTGAGCGCCAAAGGATTGATGTTTTTGAACTGTGGTGTTGGAGAAGACTCTTGAGAGTCCCTTGGACTGCAAGGAGATCCAACCAGTCAATCCTAAAGGAAATCAACCAAAAATATGCATTGGAAGGACTGATGCTGGAGCTCCAATACTTTGGCCACCTGATGCGAAGAGCCAACTCGTTGGGAAAGATCTTGATGCTGGGAAAGACTGAGGGGAGGAGAAGGAGGGGACAACCGAAGATGAGATAGTTAGATGGCGTCACAGACTCCATGGACATGAGTTTGAGCAAGTTCCAGGGGATAGTGAGGGACAGGGAAGCCTGGCATGCTGCAGTCCATGGAGTTGCAAAGAGTTGGACACAACTTGGAAACTGCACAACAACACGTCCGAGAAAGGCTAAAATGAAAATAATTGCGTGTACCAAGTGTTGGTGAGGATATGTAGCAGTGGGAATGCTTCTACACTTTTGGTAGGAGTGTAAACTGACCAGTAACCTAGCAGTTTATCTTCTAAGGATTTACCAGACAGAGATGTACATATATATTCATATGGATGCTTGTAGCAGCCTTGTTTATAACATCCCCCAATCAGAAGGGCTTCCCCAGTGGCTCAGTGTTAAAGAATCTGCCTGCAGTGCAGGAGACACAGCTGTGATCCCTGGGGTGGGAAGATCACCTCGTAGGAAGTGGCAGCCTGCTCCAGCATTCTTGCCTGGGAAATCCCATGGGTAGAGTCACCTGGTGGGCTGTAGTCCATGGAGTTGCCAAGAGTCAGACACAGCTGAGGTGACTGAGCATGCAAGCAGGCACAAAATCAGAAACCACTCAAATATCTTGCAACAGTAGTGTGAATAAGTAAACTGTGATACACTGTTCAGTACTGTGTGTCCGTGAAAATGCACTGCTGTGGATGAACCTCAGACATAATGTTCGGTGATAACAGTCCAGACCCAAAAGAGTGTATACTGAATTTATATAGGAGCATGCAAATAACAGCAAAACTAAATTACAGCACTTACAGATACATGTTTGGAATACAAAAGCAGCAATGAAATTATTATCATGAACTAGGATTATGTAACCTTCTAGAGCAAGGGAGGGGTGATGATGGAGAGGGGCTGTGGGGTGCACCCAGTGTTCTGTGTCCGGACCGAAGTCATAGTTAACAGGTGGATGAATGTTCACTTTGTGATAAGTCACTGAGCTGTTCACTTAATGCCTACAGTATTTTAACTGGATGGCAAGCTGTTGGTAGTTTGTGGGCTGAGATATAATTCTATATTAATGTAGTTGACAAGAAGCACAAGACTATGCCCAGTGTGTTACATCTCTTACTGGGAAAGTGGACATAACCATTATACTTTAGCTGTTTTGGAATTAGGGAAAGATGACCATTTACTGCATGTAGTTTTTTCGTTAATGGATTTTTGGTTTTTATAATAAAGTCCTACTAAATGTGATAGTTTATACCACCCGCACTTTTGCATGTAGTTGTTTTGTAACAGCTCTTCATCTGATGAGTGCAAATGCACACAAATGGGCAGTACAGTTTTAAGATGAAGTTTCCAAAGTCTGCCAGCCCAGAAGTTTTGACTTGCCTTTTTCCTGTTAATTGGAATTGGCAGTGCATATGTGTGTTTCTGTGTTAGTTGCTCAGTCGTGTCAGGCTCTCTGTCACCCCATGGACTGTGGCTCACCAGGTAGTACATAGGGGTAAAAAAGTCTTTTCCAAAGTAAGTATACTTCCAGTTCTGTTTTATATCCATAAACCAGGCTTCTAGAGTGATTTCCCCAAGTGTACCTGTAGCTTTAGGAACATTGTTTCTTTATGAAGTCCTCTTTTCTGTTCCTCTGGTCCTCTCTATTTTTTTTTTTTTAAACCCTTTTGCTTACAGTTTTGAGTCTCCCTTATTAGTCTGGAGAATTTCTCTGGAAGGAGAGCCTTTAATATATTAAAATGATAAAGATGAAGGCATAGATATGTAATAAAGCATTTTGTACAAGACAGAAAAATGGACATTCCAACAACCAGAGAATATGTACATTAAAATTTTTTATTCATACCATATGGGTTCTTAATTATCACCATAGCTTCTATTTTATAGTGGGCTATATGTGCCGGTTATTGTGTGCTAAGCACTTTACAGAGATAATCCTTTTAATCTTCAATAATTTCATTGGGGTCCATACTTTTTTAAATCTCATTTTATAAATGAGGAATACAAGCTTAGAGCAAACAAATGTGCCTTTCCTGTGGTCACAGGAAAGACGTGAGGTTTTGAATCTTGGCATTCTAATTCAAACTCCTTATTCTTGGATTCTGTTACTGCTCCTAAGGTTTTTTGGTTTTGCTTATAGTGTTTATTTTTAAACTCAGTGTTTCAGCATAATTTTTGAGAATATGTTTTGAAGATTTAGTACATAAAATTTTAGAGTACTTAGCATTGAAATTTTAGTTAACATTTTAGTTTCTTTGGATAACAGCGTTAAATGGTTCTACATAACCTCATTGTTAGTTGCTATTGTGATAGATATGATACTAGACTTCTGTTTATAGAATAATCTGTGGAGTATTGTAAGAAATCCAAATTTTTAAAAGATTTTTATATGGTCGTAATGCAGTTTTCTGTTTTTAAAGGTATTATTACGATGGGGACATGATTTGTAAAGTTCAAGGCAAGAGATTTGTCTACAAGTTTGTCTGTGACTTGAAGACTCTTATTGGGTACAGCGCAGCGGAGTTGAACCGTTTGGTCACAGAGTGTGAACAAAAGAAACTTGCCAAGATGCAGCTGCATGGGATCGCCCAGCCGGTCACGGCAGTGGCCCTGGCCGCCGCGTCCCTGCAGGCGGAGAAGGATAACTGAGCCAGGGCCTCCGGGAGTCCACGGTCTTTCTTAAAATGTTGGAGCAAGTCTTGCTCTTCCCTTTATTACTGAATTTGAATCTTCTTTTATTTCTAGACTGTACAATCTGATGCATGGTTTTTTTTATAAATATTTCATACTCTTGTGAATTTGGATCTTTTTACTTTGAGCATATATTTTAGAATATGTGTATGTTAAGCAGTCACCACAATGTCTTTAGGCTGGTTCATTGTGGGATAGTTTGTTAACAGTCAGAAAAGCTAAACTGGTCAGTATTAATGTCTAGCCCTACCAAAAATAGCCAGTAGCACCTGAGGATCAAAAATAAATGAAGTATCTCCAGGAAACAGTCTGGCTTAACTATTAATATTTTTGAAAATATAACTTTCCCCTCTCTGCTGCTTTAGATGTTGCTTTACATAAAAACCAGAAAATGGAATTTTTCACAGCTGAAGCATGTATGCCTGTTTCATCTAATCAAGCAGAGCTAAAGTAATCATATCCAATAAAATTATAATATTAATAAAATTACTAAGAGTATCACGTTATTAAAATAATTTATGTATTTGCAAGCAAAAGACAGTAAAAAAAGACTGGCAAAAGAGCAGTGCTGAAGAAAGAGATCCAGGTTTAAATCTGGCTTTACTCAAAAGCCAATTTTAAGGATTTACTGTATAGATTATTCATAATGTCAGGCCAAGAATTTAAATTATTATAAGAGAGACATTAAATCCTAATAAACCAACTATTACAAAAATTCTCAGATGATCTCTGTTTTTCCTGTCAGAGATTTAAAAATCTGAAAAAGTATACCTCAACCAGAAATAAAATTTTGGTTTAGTTTGGTTTCTTATGGCTCCTTTTTTAAAAAAAATTGATTATCCTATAGTGCTGGTTTATTATACAAAACAGCTTTCATAGTCTTGTGTTTCTGATGAAGACTTTAAATCAGTCAGCAGTACTTGATCTTTCAAGACACGAGTGAATTACTTGCAAGTAGTTCTAAAAGGAAAATTTGACCTCCAATACAGGCAGTCTTCTCTTAAAATTTCCCATTTATTTAATTTTTTCCTTTGAATATTATATATGCAAGTGTACGAATATCTGTATACATGTCCAGTTGACCATCTTATACACACACACACACACACACACATATAAACGAAGACATAATATTCAAAAGGTGATATTTCAAAACTCACTTAGAAATCCTTTAAAGATTAAATAATTCTTACATACATGAAACTCTTTACCTACTACAAGCCAACACTGAACAGAAATGGCTAGAAATGTCTTTTTTCTTGTTTGCTTTGCTTGGTTTCCTTTTTTTCTCTTTGCGTTTGTTTTAAAGTATTATGCACAAATCATGATATGAGATACTTTAATCCTCTTATAGCAGAAGACTGATTCTCAAATATTACTTTATGTACCTTCTCCCTCATTTCCTTTAAATCCATCCCCTAAGCAGCTTTATAAGAGCTCACTTAGTGCATTTAACTAACTAGGAGGAAAGGGCCACAGTAATGCAAGGAGGCATTATTGGCAGTTGCTGCCCCCACTGAATAGTGGTTTGGAAAGAACCATAGGAGGCAGGGATCTTAGGAAGAGAGAAGAAGGGGAGGTGTGTATGACCTCCTTTTCTGATAGCTTCAGATCATAATATTAAGTGTTATACTGTGGGACTACGGCATGTTATGTCAGTTCACTTATTGTATTATGTCGAAGTCCTTTAAGAACAAGCAGTAGAATAAAATCTGTAATTTCCATTTTTACCTTTTTATAAACAGAATAGACTGACAGACTATTAGTTCAGCTTGGATGCTGTGATTGCAAGACTATCTGAGTAGAATAGCAATATGATACAGAGATGTTCTAGTTCAGACAACAGGTAGCTGAGGATTTTTCACCGTTCTCTTATGGTCTGGGAAGTTGACAAATCGGTTACAGTTTTAAAATAATAATGATAAAGTCTGCTTTTCTGTTATATTATCAAGAGCTTAAAATTATTGACTTTGACATAACATACTTTGAGGGAGACAATATGTTTTAGCCAAGATGACAGATTTCCGTTATATATATCTCAACTATATGTTGTATGTATTTTAAGGCAAGGAATTCTAGATCTCTAAAAATCAATCTATTATTTCTTTTTTATTTTTCCCCTGTGTTCCTCAGATACCTTAAAAAAAAATTCTATTCATTTTCTTCCTTTTGCAGTTTTTCTTTTATTCCTTGTTATCATTTGAACAGTCAGTTCTCAAACACAATCTGATGCTGTTTCTTTTCTCTTCTTTGCCTCTCTCCATCACTTTATGCACCATAAGCAGTGAGACCGATTTCCCCAGTTGATTCAAGAAACTTCCGTTACTTTGTCTCAGCTTATAAACTATGTCCATTGTGCTTATTGAGGTTGCAGTTACCAGAAGCCAAGTAGTCTTTTCTTTTATTGAAAGATAACTTGTATTTTGAAAGAAAATATAATTTATGCTATTCATTCTTTGCTCTGATTTTATAAATAAATTTTCCATAGGAGAATTTATATCAGAGGAGAGAGAAAATTATTGGTCATTTCTATACCATATAAGTATAAAAACAATGAAACATTCATTTTTGTTTTAAAGCTTTTTCCACATGAGATTCTCATTGAGCCAATTTTCATATGTATCTTGCTAGCCTGAAGTTTAGGAAATTGTGTTTGCATCAGAAAATCAAACAGATCAGGCAAAATTGCTGTGTGGTTGATTGATACATGAATTGACTCATCACATTTATTTTTGTGACAGTCCATGTCAGTTAATTAGGAAAGATTGTTTTTTTGCCCCTGATAAATGGTGAAATTCAAGTATGATATTTCTTTAAAGGGTTGTGCCTCCAAATATTTTTGGTGAGGTCTGCTATTTTTCATGTTCATCATTTTATGCTACTGCCTTCTAAAAAGAACTAATGTATCTTTGAAATAGCACAAAAATGTTTTAAATTTCATAATTTCAAAATAACCTGTGACTAACTTAATGTCTTCATATCTAGAGGGTATAAAAATATTGATATTTCAGTGATATTTCACTTGCTGCCAGAAAAAAATATTCTCAATCTTTTGTAAGAGGGAGGAGGATTTTTGCATACATTTTTACTCTTTAAATAAAGACACTTATACTGTCATAATAACAATTATGTATTTCTTTGTGGTTTTTATTTTTTTTGTAATTTTACATAAGACAGTTATTTTCTATTTTTACTCAGATAAAAAATATTTGTGCATAAAATGTAAAAATAGTAAAATGAGAAAAATAAAACTATTATACGGTATATTTCTGTGTTTTTTAGAAGTTTTTTCCCCAGCATACAGATAGTCTCAAATTCCTGGGATATTTGGTTAGATGAAAATGTGGCAGTTCACATCTGGTGTATTATACATGTGATTCCCATATACTTTATTTAAAAACTATTAATATCAGTTTGAGAAGAACAGATTCCACTGAGCTAAAGTTAGGTGTTAGAGAGTTTAGTTTTTTTAAGAAAATAAATGAAAACCCCATAAACAAAGCTGAACTATTTCAGAATAGCAACAGAAGAAATAGTAACACTGAGTACTTGTCAAAAGGCAAGTTGATGTTTGTTAGAAACACTTAGTCAAGTTTGCTAGTTCCTTTTTGATTGTTTTAAATTATGAAAAATTGGCTCTTCATGTTGGCTGTGGGTGCTTCAGCCAGGAGCAGAGTGTAGAGGAATCAAAGGGGAAAGGAGAAAAACCTTACTTTCACTTTTGTTTATGGTCAGGCAATGATCACATTTAACTGACATGCTTTAAAAAGAAATGGTTTGAGTAGAATAAATTGATTTTCACACAATCTAGGCTTTCTGTAGTGAAAGTGAAAGTCACTCAGTTGTGTCCGACTCTTGCAACCCCATGGACTATACGGTCCATGGAATTCTCCAGGCCAGAATACTGCCTTTCCTTTCTCCAGGGTATCTTCCCAACCCAGGAACTGAACCCATTGCAGGCTGATTCTTTACCAGCTGAGCCACAAGGAAAGACCAAGAATATTGGAGTGGGTAGCCTATCCCTTCTCCAGTGGATCTTCCCAACCCAGGAGTCGAACCAGGGTCTCTTGCATTGCAGGCAGATTCTTTATCAACTGAGCTATCAGGAAGCCCTTTTATTTCCAATTAGAAACTGAAATTTTTATAAAAAGTGAATTAATGGAGGGAGGAGGAAATGAGTTTTGTAGTGGGTAGAAAGTTTGTTTTACAAGATGACAGAAGTTCTAGAGATTGGCCACACAGCAATGAATATACTTAACACTACTGAATCGTATACTTATGTGTGAGTAAGATGATAAATTTTATGTGTATTTTACAATTAAAGCTTTTATTAAAAAATAAGAATTTAAAGATTCAATTAAATCACCAAATTAACAGAATACAGAGAAAAAAAAACATTATCTTAGTATATGCAAGAAAAGTATATGTTAAAACTCAACATCCATTAATGACAGAACCTCTGGGCAAGCTAGAACTAGAAGGGAACTTCGTTAAGAATACAAAGCATGAAAAACCTACAGTTAGCATCGTGCACAATGGTTTGTTTTCCATCTAAGATCTGCTTGCTTGCTCAGTCGCTCAGTCATGTCTCTCTTCGCAACCCCATGGTCTGTCCATGGAATTCTCCAGGCAAGAATAGTGGAGTGGATTGCCATTCCCTTCTCCATGGGATCGTTCCGACCCAGGGATCAAAGCCGGATCTGCATTGCAGACAGGTTCTTTACGTCTGAGCCACCTGGGAAGCCCAAACATCAAGTATTCCAGGTCAGAATACTGGAGTGGGTAGCCTTTCCCTTCTGCAGGAGATCTTCCCAACCCAGGGATTGAACCCAGGTCTCCCACATTGCAGGCGGATTGTTTACCAGCTGAGCCACCAGGGAAGCCCAAGAATACTGGAGTGGGTAGCCTCTCCCTTCTCCAGGGGATCTTCCTGACCCAGGAATCGAACTGGGGTCTCC